AGTCCCCGATTTTCTTGAAAAAACACTCCTAATAGTCCCCGACAGCCCCTAATTTTGGTTTTGTCTAATTGGTAGACACCCTGTTCAGGCAATTTTTGCCAAATTTGGCGACTTTTTGGTCCGAACTTTCTTTTGGCGTAAAGTTCAAATTCGGATTCAGCGTCAAAAATTACGCAGGAATCACTGAGAACACTGCAATACGGGACTTTTGCAGGCTTTTTTCCTTATTTGCCAGGACCTACTCGCGGAGCACAGTTTGAATTTAAGGATTTCGAGGATGAGGCCCTTTCCACTGTCCAGACGCTCGAATTTTCCGTTGTGGTTCTACGGGGAAAATGGGTCACTGAACCATAGGTTTTTTATTCCATATTCTGAATGTACCAGGTGAGTAGATCACGTGGTGATTTATTGCGTATTTTCAATGCCAAAATCCTAGGCTAGTCCGCTTTTTAAAAAGTTTAAAACCTCAAAGGAGTTTCAAACGCGCCGGCGCCGGTATGGAGGGAAAGTTTAAATGAAAGGGAAAGTTATAGCAGTCATTTACGGGTGCCCACCCCGATAATATTTGCAGATTATTTAGGAAAAACCGGAAAAGTTCAGGGAATTTGGTGGTTTCAGGAAAAATCTGGAAAATCGGTCATAGATCAGGGAATTTTGATTGCTCCAAATTTTTGATTAAATTGATCCATTAAGCTGATTTTTTTTAATCCTCAAGTTCATTACGCAGCTAGGTGCCAAATTCTGATATTGGCAACTCATTGTCGCAATTTATCAGTGTTTGCGGCGTTGTTTTAATCTTACCCCTAATTGGGTCTCTCTTCTTGGGATATCACTATCTCTTATGTGTATACTGTTTCACGCTGTATGATTCTTTCTGAGAAGGGATCAGACGGGTATTACCTGCTGAAGTCGTAACAAGTGACTGCAGGCTTCGCCAATTGGTTTCTGATCGAGTCAATCATCATTTCCCTTTAGAACTCAGAAGAATCATAGGTGACTGCAGCGTCCTATGGGGGTTAATCGTGTTTTCACCAGTCTATCAAAAACGGGATTGCGTCTGGAGTGTGTAGTTATTTCCAGGGGAAAATAAATTTATCTCCCCACTGTTTATCATCGTTTCCGGAGAGTATGGCCGAACCATTGAGAGAGAAAAAAGCGCGGTAATTAACGCCTCGGTATGACGTATATAAGGGTTTGTAATTTTTTCCGGTGAAACGACCGGCAGAGACATCTACCGGAGGAATACGCAAACACTGGGTCACCGCACAGTGTTCAACACATCGCTGCGCTCAGATCAATCGAGGAAATGTCTGAATATTAAATCGGTTGCTACTGCTGCCATTTGTTATAATCAGTATTTTTCAGATTCGTTTATTATTGTTGTTGGGTTTTTATCTATTGATTAATTTATCCCCTTCTTCTTTTGGGAGATTCGTGATTTTGCGATGTTCGCAATGTTTTCTTCGAAATGAGGTACAGGTTTTTATGAAATTTTTCCGCTTCTTAGATCGTAACATGGAAGATTAAATTAAATCAGACACAGACAAGAAGGCTATCCAGGATACACAAAAAATTATCGCTCATTTCCTATTTTTTCTAAAAATAAGAAAAAAATAGCCATCACTATTTCTCGTTTGAAAGTGCTTGTTCAAGGGAAGATGAAGCTCAACCTCAGGTTAATTGCAATGTCGGGAATGGACATGTGAACGTATTTCTGCTAAAAGGAACTATGTTCATAGGGTTTGCATGAGACTTAGTTCCTTTTAGCGTAAATACGTCCATGTTACCTTAAATCTCCTTACCGTTCAGCTCATGCAGGTCTTCAGATCGCAATTTTTTAAAAAAGGAGAAAAAAAAACGTTTTGTTTCCTTCGCGGAATAGCCTGGAAGGAAACCTGAAAACATTGCTCAGATGGAAGACTGAAAAACTCAACCGAGAAGTACTACAAACCCTTAGAGTCATGTCAGACGTGATCTTCGGAATGATGATTTGGACTCAGTTAAGCAGAAAGAAACCAACCCACATTTTGGAAAAAATTGAGTTATGAGTGGTTTTAAACTCAACCTTTGCTCTACTATCTATCGCCAAAAATTCAAAGTTTTTGTTGGAGCAAATTTTGCATAAATTGAACTTGAAGTTTATCTTTCACATTGAGTCTTATGCAGGAGCTAAACTTTAAACCTCTTTTTCTCTGTTCGATCCCGATGTGGCTTGGTTCCTTTCTGTTTAACTCCGTCCATTTATTGAAGGAAACAATTCTTCCGTTTTCCGTAAACTTTTCTTATTCTCCCTGAATTCTTGTCATGAACGGAATGCCGAGCGGTGAACCGCGGAAAATGGTCAAGGAGGAAACGTCAAGGCGTAAAAACATGAGGAATTCTCGGCGACATAACGCATCACTGATCGATGAGGGATTCCGAGAAGAAACAGTGAAAAAAAGAGTCTATCTGACCGATTTACGTATGCCGCCAGCGTAACAGATCAGTTCTGCGATGCTGAGGAAAAACGCCGTATGAACATTCAAGAGTTGTCAAATTTCCTTCGATAAAATGTTAATTTATGAAGAAAGCTATGGATATTTTTCCTTGGAATTTTCAAGAAATTTGGATGAAATTGCGAACAAGATTATCTGATAAATTGAAGGAAAAACGTTCACAAATTTTCCCGAAAACCAGTGATTTATTAAAGGAAATTTGGCAACGCCTGAAGGCTCATACGACGTTTTTCTTTAGCACTGCAGAGTTGTTGCTCCAGGTTCATGAGGCCATTCAGTTTCTGGTTAATGGTCAGAAGGAGTGACGAAACTTGACGAGTCTTAAAATTGATACTTACCTTGGATTTAATCGTACGATGTTCGGTCATTCCATGGAGACAAAAGCCTCGGTTCATATGGAACAACAATTTTTTTGGTGCAGGTAACCGGAGTTTTCAGTCTTAGAAATTTATAGTCGGTATTGGCTCTCCGGTCGGGGTATCTTGCACGGAGACGCGGATGGACAAGTTTCAGAAATTTCTTTAAGTTTCGGAAAAAGTAAGAACTCTCCCAAATTACGTAGCTAAGTTTTTTTCATATTTGTAGAAATCTCTTGAAACTAAGGAACTCTAGTTTTTTTGTAGAATGAAAGTTTTATTTCACAAAATCGCAGTTTGCTGTATTAATGTCTATTTTTCGGTCAGCGCTTGTTTTGCACCCTCCCACGAAGTCGTAGCTCGCTATAGAATGTCGTTTTTCATCCATCTTATCTTTTGGAGCCAAATTCTCTCTAATGAAGAAAATTTGGAAGTTTTTTTAGACTTGTGAAAATTTTGCGTGAAGGTATTTTTGTGCATTCCTGCTGCCTGGAACCTGCAGCGGTTCTCGAGCATTAGTGAATCCTTCCAAGCGTGAAACTAATGGATGATTTTGGAGTGAGATCTTTAGGTTTTGGTTTTTCCCCTGGAACCATCAACGGGGGTAGGAATTCACCTGGCCAGAACTTTACTCGTGGCTCAAGTCCCGGACACGATGAAGAGTTCCACAAGTTGGCACTTATTTGGCACTCGCGTCGGCGTCGGTCGTGAATTTTCTCCCGGCGCGGGGCGTCGCGGCGCCCAGGTCGATCGGAAGTGCGTCAGCGGTGTTGCCACACTTCGTGGGAAATTTCTTGTTCCTCTCGTATACATTTTCATCACGAAAATGATGTTCCTGAATAATCATGAGCGGAGCTTCGCGAAAATATGGGAATCAGTAGGATTTTTCAAGGGACGAAACTGGACGTAACTGGCAGGGTTGCCACAGTCAGGGAAAACCGGGAAATGTGAGGGAAAATCAGGAACGAAAATGTCAGGGAAAATTTGTTAAATCACCTTCATTTGCTTTCGTAGAATGGGTTTGAGGTTTCGAACAACAAATTTTGCCTGAAAACTATTTTCAATTATGCCTTCTTAACCATCCGTCACATCTTCGATTGTCAGGGAATTTCACCAAAATATGTCAGGAAAAGCAGGGAAATGTCAAGGAATTTCATTTTTCAAATTTTGTGGAAACTCTGAACTGGGGAAATCAGGAAATTTGTGTGAGAAGGCGTGTCACAAATCAGGGATTTCTTCTGTTTTCATTTCAAGATTGGATCTTCATACTTTTTTTCCTCTCAATGTTAATATCGCAATTTCTTTTACAAAATGGACAATGGTTTTACGCCAAAAACGATTTCAATTTGATGGCTTTGTGTGAACTATTTGCGTGTTTGAAGGATTAAACCGGAGATGAAAAAATTTATTGGTTTTTTTTTTGCGAACCTCAAAATTTTCTGGGAAGAATCTAGTTTCTCCCATGAGAGTTGGAGGGCATTGATAAGAAAACCCTGTGTAGCGCAGCGCACTACTTTTAGTATTTTGCCAAATTGACTTGAATCTTTGATGTTTACTTACAAATTCATTTTAAGTAAAGTGGATTTTTTTGTATACAGTCCCCATAGGGAGTTCACTAGTGGCGTAGCGTGCTTTGCAATATAACGATTGATCTGCCATCTAAACCTATGGAAAAGGATCGATTCAAAGGGTGCTCGCAACGAATACCCTAATAATCGATTCTTTACCACAGCTTTAAATGGGGAATTTCGATAATCGATCATTCACGCCTCGCCATTGGAGTCCTCTCACGCCCTGGGACTAGTGTATTTTCGTCGGAAAATACACCAAAAATTGATGTCAGCCAACAAAATAAGTAAAATCTTCAACGTCTTAAAATCTTAGTGGAACCATTAGTTATATTTGATTATTTCATGTTAAAAACAAATTTGTAAAGACGAAAGCAGTCTAGAAATGTAGGTATGTGTAAATTTGTTCAATTGTTAATTTACAAAAACAAAAAGAAATAAAATAAAAAAAAATGATGCCGCTTTTTCGGAAATTGTTTTTTTTTTTTCGGAGACCAAGATTGCCCGTTTTTCTGTTCCTTTTATTATCTGTCTCTCTCTGGCCCAGCGTTAACCGAGGTTTCTGTTTTCTTTTGTTTCAGTCCTATGCAGCGATCGCGTAAGCCAAATGACCAAAACTTATAATGACGTCGAGGCAGTCACAAGGCTTCTGGAAGAAGTGAGTGTTCAACTTTTAACTCCCTCGTAATCCATGTAATCCCTCTCGTTCAAGAGCCCGCTTCGTTTCATCCCTTCTTACATCATTTTAACCTGTCGGTGCAGCTTGCGTAATATCCCGCATTGACGGAGGCGCTCTTTGAAATCTAACGCTTTCTTAGGAGCATTTGCCGAGGAAGATAATCCCTCCCGGTTGTGATGTGATGTCGGAAACCCATCCAAGGTCAACTCGTCCGCGTCAAGGGTAGTTTTTCCATGGGGTTCATGTCAGTCGTCTGGATTTTCTCGTCGCATACTGCCATGCTAAGGAAAATCGCCGTATGAATCTTCAGGCGTTGCAAAATTTCCTTCGATAAACCCCGAATTCACTGGGAAAATTGTAAATATTTTCCCCCAAAATTTTCAGACTATCTAGTGCGCAATTTGATCTGAAATATCTGAAAAGTTCATGGAAAAATTATGCTTAAATTGCGTCAAAAATACACGTTATATCAAAGGAAATTTGGCAACTCTTGAATGTTCATACGGCGTTCTTCCTTAGCACTGCAGCATAGTGCTGGGGGCTGATTATTAAAATTGATAGACAAATCTATAGATAAAGAAAGCAAAGGGAACATGGAGTGATCCTATTGCTTAAAACGGGCGGTGGTCTCAGACTGAAGTAGAAAATGATGGACTGAGCGGAACCAAGTCTCTCGTGTGCTACCTCCTCTTTCCATTGCAACCATACCTCCCTCCACCAGTACTGTCATGCTAAGGAAGAACGCCGTATGAGTCTTTAGACGTTGCCAAATTTCTCTCGATAAAACCGAATTTACAGGGAAAATCGTGAATGTTTTTTCCAAAATTTTCAGACAATTTTGTACGTATTTTAATCTAATACATCTGAAAATTTCAAAGAAAAGTGTGCATGACTGTCGTCAAAAATACATGTTTTATCAAGGGAAATTTGGCAACTCTGAAATGTTCATACGGCGTTCTTCCTTAGCAGGGCAGAGTAGAATCGCTCCATTTTCCCTTTATCTTCTTTGTCTACCAATTTCAATATTCCATCCGCACCGCGCTGAGGATGATCGTTGTATGAACATTGATGCCAAATTTCCTCCAGTATTTATATATATTTGAAGCAAGTCTTCAATATTTTTCTGCGGAAATGTCAGTTTCTTGAAATCAAATTGCGAACAAAATTCTCCGAAAAATATGGAACAAATATTATCATAGGAAATTTGGTATCTTCCAGAAGCTCATACTCGAGTCAATCAGAGGGGTCGGACTTGAAACTTTTGACTAAAACTGCAAATTTTGATAAGTTAGTCATATTTTAAACTCAAAGGGGTGTTCTTAGCAGAAAATTTCTCGGGAAAACCCATGGAACCACTTTTAGAGCTTCAAAGTTTCACATAAACGGAGTTATAAGCGTTTAGAGTTTCCAAATTTTGTCCGACCTCTCCTATCGACTCGATCCATTGTGCGGCATCCTTTCCTAGCGCGACTGAGTAGCTTTCATGTGCTTCTTTCTTTATTACATACTATCGAAGTGCAAAAGTGGGTGACTTACATCACCTACGTTTCTTGTCCACATTAATCAGACAACATTTCACAATTAGGTACTATAATTTCCGGCTCATTATAACAACAACATATGTGCTATCATCATCATGTGCTAAATCAGGTACATATGTATGTGGACATCACTGAACGACAAATCCAATGTAGGAGAAATCATCCCCCATTATGAGGAGTATCACAAGTGTCCTACAATGTTTGCCAAATATTACTTGTCGTTGGGGGTTTTTTGCCCTCCCCTAAAAATTGTCGAGCGAATTCATCTGAAAATTTTGCAAAATTTTACTGTTTGTCTAAAGAAAATTTTGCAAAATTTTAAACGAAACCATGTAACAGTTTTCTCCAAAAAATAAATAAAATGTCAGCAAAAATTTAGTGACGTGGGGCTAGTGATGAATTTCCTGAGTGGGAACAAAATGGTACTTTGCCGTAAATTACATCAAACATAAAACCTGGCATCGGGGCAGTTTCTACCCCAAACCGCAGTAATTTGTATAATGTCTGTAGAATGTCAGACACGAGTCAAATTGTTAAGTTTACAAGCTTAACTCAGGGGTAATCATTAAAAGCTTCTTAACATGAACTCTCATTCCAAGCGCTTTTGCAATTCTTTTTGACTAATCGTACGAATTTTCAATAAAGTTGCATCTGGGCACGCAAGAATATCATCCCTCCTGCTCTTATGTAAACTCGGTATTGTGTTCAACGGAAAAAACAAGAAATCATTCCAAAGATGTGCTCTTTTTACATAGATGATGAGTTCTTCATTGACTCTCATTTTATGATCGTTGTGTTTTTCTCTCTCATCGTTCAAGTGCATCTATAAAGCATATCCTATTCTCAGTTTGTGACTTTGCTCAGTGTGTTCTCGTCTCCTAACTACTAACAGGTCAGTATATCTGTATTTACTTTGAGAATTAGCTACCACTTAAGTTCTATTTTCAGTGCCTCAGCAACTAACTTTCACCAAATCGTAACTCGATAATTATCATAATTGAATCGACGTATGCGAAAACGTCCAATGTCCAAGACAGTGTTTCAGAATTGGAGTGGACAATTTCCTTGTAACCTAATGACACAAGATGGTTTAAGACGTTAGGAATGTAGAACAATTTAATAAATAATCTCCTGAGTGTAATTAAATGTTTACAAAAGAGATTGATACTATTCATCAGTGTTGTTGGAAAAAAGAAACCCACTGCAATTATGAAACCCTGCTTTGAACAACGGACGTTTTCGCATACGTCGATTCAATTCAATCTTCTGTTTTTGAAATTTATTCATCTCGTATATTGGTTGCATTTATGCAACGCATTTCAAGTTCATTACAAAAATGTCAAGAGTATTTTTTTAAAAAAAAGTATCTTATTTTCTTTATGAACTCGCACTGAAAATGTCCCTTTTTTATCTACCAACTTTCAAAGCTCTGCTTAAAAAGAACTTTGATCTCTCATGTAATTCTCAACAGAAAATGTGATAGTGTGGTGTATGTAAGGGTTTAAGGTGTTTTTTTCCCCTTAAATGTTGAAAATCTCCTTAGAAGAAGAAAAAAGGATGAAGAGGGTTTCAAAAAAACTTGTGCAATTCATTGATAGTGCGAAAATTTTAAAATCCAAAATCAGAATAAAATAGCATCAATGCTAAAAATGAAACCCTAAAATTAAGTACTGGGTGAATTTCTGAGGAATTGATTTGATTTCAGGAACCCTTAAATTGGATCTCATTTATCACAAGAGAACCAGCTCAATTACGGTGTTTTTCAATCTGTTGAGCTCCCTCTTTTCCTTAAAAAATCTTTAAAATATTTTCCCATCGGAGTCTTTGTTTATCTTTACGTTATACTTTCATTCGCAACTGACAATAAAAACAATCTAATATCCTCTAATTTTTCAGGTTTGCAGTTGTGGTTTAACAAATACAGTACAGATTTAAAAAGCATTCAATCACTGATTAAAGGTAAATTATGTTCTTATTTCTTCTTCCCTTTACTTTTACTCAACATTTCATTCTGAAAGAAAATTAAACATGTTTCGAAGAATTGAATATTTCTCTCAATGATGGAGAATCTAGGCAGGGCGCTATGATTCGGAAAAGACTATAACTTATGAAACTAGGTACTGCTTCAGTTGTCACCATCTCTCTCCTACATTTTGCGTTGTTTCTCTTCATTTTTAAGTCTTTTTTTTCCTATTTTTATTGTATCAGCCTTTTATTAATTTCAATCAAAACTTTTCTTGTTTTTAGTCCTTTCACATTTATGTTTGTAAGGCTCTTGTCTCAATTCTTCTCACCATCAGTTCCTTTTCTTCTCGATTTTCACTCTTTTTCAGTTTCACATTCCTCCCTCATCAAAGTTTCTTGTAATTATTAGTAGTTTTTACTATTGATAATTCGAGCTTGCTCCCAGACTATTCATTTTAATCAACTTAAATTCTTTTTCCGAATCTGCTCTTGGAAATATTTTGGCTTATCCGAGGGCTGTACTCATTTTTTCCAAGTGGCTCTTAATTTTGTTTTTCCATTTTGTGAACGATTGGAAAGCGTCAGAATGAGTAAACATAAGAAGTTTTTTAAAAAGTTCTAGCTGGTGTTTTTGCTGGAACTTTCCTGAGATATTTTGAATTGTTTCATATATCTAGTTGAGAACTTTTTGACCTTATTAAGTGAGGGGGAGAAAGGATCATTTTTTTCAGTTTCTGTTTGAAACAGCATGTTTCTTTTTAGTCACCTGCGTTAGTTAAGTAAGTCAGTGAGCTTGGATTCAAAGTACGTGGAACTGTTACGAGTACGAAAGATCTGTATTTCCTTACTCTGATTGCTTCAATTTCTGACTCGTGACATCAGGATTTTTACCTTTCCTTTCTATCTATTAAACCCTTCAACCTCTCAATTTTTTTTTTTTTTTTTTATTTCTTATTTTTTTTAAATCTCCCGTCTCATTTCATTTCGGAATTTATTTAGTTTCTGGTCTTCTCTTAAGTTTGTCATCATTGCTTGGTTAACATATTTTGAGCTGTTATTTTTCAAGTCGTCACATAAAATCTCAGGTTTCCTTCTTTTCGATATTTTCCCCTATCTCCTTGATATCGACGGCAGAACTCCCAAACCACGTATCTCGGTTTGCAACATTGTAGACTTCCTGTCATACTTTATTTTTTGATTGGAGCACTACTTAACGTTAATTCTTAAAAACACCATTATTTATTTTCTCCGCTCGGGGCAAATCCTGGAAAAATTTCTAGGAATAATGTTGAGTTGCTCTCCTTTAGAAAAGTGAAATAGAAGCAGAGACTTTTGAACACAGCAAACGAGACACGTGGTTTGGAAGTTCTATCGTTGATAGCCTTTATTTCTGTGTCAAAACATTTCCACAAGGAAATATATCTTTTGTTTCGATCGAACTTTGAATATGAATTAATTCAGTCAAGGCCACAGGATTTTGCTCCCAGTTCTATCTGCCATAAGTTTTTTATTTATCACTTTTAAATTATTATTTTTATTTTGTATTTTTTTCTACTTTAGTTTTTTATTGGCACATTTTGTAGGGTACATTTTGTCAATACTCAATGGCGGTACTCTAGTATGCAATCTTCTCTCATGATAGAAAGTATTCTACTTTAAGTTTTTTCCCCTCCATTTATGAGTATAGCTATCTGATAAAAACGTATTTCTCGATCATTAGTCATCAGGGAAGCCAGAAAAGAAATGTAAATGGAAAAGCCAGCAATTAGAATACCATCTTCCTTTTTTTTTGTCTATCAGGAGGGGGAAATTTTTCGGTTTTTAAAATCTTGTCGTTCAATATGAGGTCAGGAGAGACATCAGGAATATTCACTCCTAAGGGCAGTTCGATTATCTAAAACATCTTTTTTGATTTGTTGCAGATAATCAGCAAGTGGACCAGTTGAATCGGTTTTCATCTTACTCATACGGCAAATGTAAAGCAAATTTAGACAACCATCATATCGCCTGGACTAACGTTAGGTTCTAAAAAATTTAAAAAATTTCATTTCAATTGAGTTGGAGAACATGATCCAATAAGTGGGTTGACCTGCTACGCAATAACCTTATTAGGTCATTCAAGTGAAGTGCCAATGAAAAAAGCTGACTCCAGTATTTTATAGAATTAAAGGAGAAGGAATGTGAGATGGTAAAGGCTGTGCTGATGATCAAAAAAAGAGAATAAGTAATTTTAAAGTATGAACCCTCTGAAAATTGACCTTTATTTAATATGATGTCAGTACTTTTGATGCCTCCCAAGAATTTTATTCAAAATTACCAAAGCTGCCTATAGTTAAATGAAACGCAACGTTAAAATTCAATGGAGCTCATAGTTTGTTCGAGGTTGAAACGAAATTGATTAAATCCGCTTTTCGGAAGATCAAATTTTGCAATAGAATCTTCTTCAATTTGGAACTCTTACTTCCGCGTTTAGATCGACTTTTGGATCAAATCTCCCAATGAAAGTTAGCGGTTTTTTTGTTGTGTTTTTAAATTGTGATCTTTAACTGAATAAAAATTGACTAAGAATGGTGTTTCACGGTTTCAATTAATTTCATCAGTCCTATCAAGTGATCAGACAGGTTAAAAAAAGAATGAAAAGGAAATTTTGTACACTATATTAATCATTCTCTAATGTTCTCAAATGAATACACGATTTGCTGTCTTCAATTAATTAATTAATTAATTAATTAAATTAAATTATACGTTGCTCCGAATTTCAATTGTGAGTTTTTATTCTGTTTTTGCTTCAGTTTAAACCATTGCCACTCGTCTCTAGTAACTGACCAGGGCTAAGATTAAGAAACATGCTGTACAGGAAGAAAAAGAGGAAAAATTGTATATTTTTACTTCTCCCTCTCAAATCTTTAAAACGATTTCTTCCAAACATTTTCGGTCCCAAATTTTTGAATTTACAATGGTGAATCTTTTCCTTTCTGAAGTTGTACATCGTGTCTCTCTATCAACTTCGATTGTCAGGTATCAATTAGTCTGCAATTCACCAACCTCTCCTCTGAAAAATTGTATTCAACAAAATCTTCTGTTACAAACTTTAAAGCAGCCAAAAGTGATAAAATATCCCTAAACAAATTCAGTTTTCTTCTAGTTTAATGATATGTGATACACAAACTGTAATCATGGAAGGAATAGAAAGGCGCTTTTTTTATTTTTGATTCACGCAGCTCTCCTATGGTGTAAAGTGGCGATAGAAAAATCTCAGTTTTAAAAATACTTGTCCAGCTTTCCCTGGTTCCTTTCTTCTCCTTTTTTTTTTGTTTGCTTAAATTTTAAATATTCCGCTTACTTCCAAACTTGGCTGCTAATTTGTTTCATTCATTTTTCCTCCAATACTCAATTATCCCTTTCATTATTAATTTCTCTCCTCTTGCTACTATAAAATTATCTACCTAGCTCTTAAACACAGTTCTAATGATTCTCTTATGTATTTACTGGTAGTTTTTTTACATTCGATTATTAACCGTTTAAAAATATTTATTGCTTTGTAATAAGTTACTTCTCATTTGTCTCATCTGTTTACCTCCAATGTCATTCCTTTGAAGTATAACGACTTTAGTCACCAGAGATGTGGCAGTGAAGTGTTTGTTGCTGTAAATAAGCCAATGAATAAGCCAAATTCCAATGTTTCCACAATCAGTTTAAAAATACGATCATTTTACGCTACCATTCATAATTCATGAAAGTAAAATGTTAAAAACATTTTTGACTAAATGAAACTAAATCTCTCTCTAAAGCAAACTCCTCCAGACCCAACATCAAGATAAGGCCTTCGATTGAACTCATCTACTCAGGAAATTAAGATGATCCATGCGTGTGATATAACTGTCCTTATTGCATGATGGAAACGAATTTGGACAAATTTTTTATTTTATTATTATATATATTATATATTATGAAAAATGATGAATAGTTCTTCCTCATGAGTTCAAAACGCTTCTTCCGTAAATAGAAACAAACTAAAGGCTTCAATAATTTATGACATCCAAAATTGCTATTTAATTCTGTGTCAATCGCACAAATCTTTTTTCAGCCATATTTGTCAACCTTGTCGCTCAGCTCAAAATTTTGCTTGGTTCTTAATCGTTTTTGTTTTTCTTTGTGTTCGCAGAAAGAAAAGGACATAGAATTAACAGCTCGTATTGGAAAGGAGCTTCTTGCACATAATCAGAAATTAGAGAGCACTGTTGCCGCTCTAGAAGTAGAAATCAAAGCTGCTAATGAAAAAATCACTCAGTTGACGTATGATCTGCACCGAAAAACAGAACTCATCAATGTCCTCACGAATGATGACTCTTGTTCAGAAGCAAGTGAGTATTTGGGGCCATTGGGAGTATTTTGACTCGCGCATGTTTAGCATGCAAAATTAAGGAATGATGACAGTCTAGATCTAGAGAGCTATGGCTCACCAAAGGATGAAGATGAAATCTGCCATTCAAAGCAAAAACGCTGTAATACTATTCTAGGTTCTTTCAACTTTTTCTTACAAGATATAATTCAGGTAAAACAAAGAGTATTCATCTCTCATAATTTCAGAATGATTGTGGCATACTACTGAAAACTCAAACTGAAACAATGAAGTATTATGGTGATCAGGCTCTCTCAGAACAGAACATCGTATAGGTGGTAGAACTCCTGAACCACATTTCTTGGTTCGCGGCGTTTCAGATTCCTGTCCTACTTTATTTTTTAAGTGGGGAACTACTCAACGCCAATCCTCCAAAACTTCCGTGATCTAACCTCGTTGTGCAAAGGAAGCAAATTCTGAGAAAACTAAAAAGAATGATGTTGACTAGTTTTCCTTTGAAAAAATGAAAGAGGAATGGAGATTTTGAGACATCGCAAACAAAACGAGAAAAAACACAAAATCTTGATTGGTGCTACAGTGTTTGTGTTATGGTCAGCAGGAATTGTGTCTTCACTTTTAAATAGGAATCTCATCACTCTTGCCAGTTCGGCAGCTGTGAAATGTGGCAAACTACTCAAGTCACGTTTGTGGGTTGTTTTAAAACAGAGGAAGTCTTCCTCAATTTTTTCTATGCTTCCAGTTTTTTCTTCAAATGGTTACCATTTTTGGCTTCAACAAATCACATATTTTTTTTGCTTTTTTCAAACGTACAACTGTTCAAAAGAAATCCAGGTCAATGAAACCTCTGTAAGTCATTTGAATCCTTACATTACTCCTACAATTTAACACATTTTTTCTCGCTTTCTACAAATCCTCTCTAGTCTCATACTTTTTTTGTTTTCAGGCACACCAACCGGTGGTGTTAGTCTGGAGTTTATGCAGAGGCGAATCGGCCTCTTGGAAAATGAAAACAAAATATTGCGGGATGAAACATCACAACTTGCATCGCAAACTGATGAGATCGAGGCCCAGGAAGCAAAATTATATGCTGAGTTATCAGGTACACTCATAATCGGTGCTTTTTGCGAGTCAAGTCTTCAATTGAGGCGTCAGCTGGAATAACCACCTATAGCTGAAAACTTAGTTTCGAGAAAATCACATTTAAAGGTTTGACTCTGAGATGCGTTGCTGGGTTTTCGCAGTAGGAAAACTGTTTAAGCATTTTTATGTAATTGGTAGTATCCCTTAAACGACCCACCATGCAGTTTTTGAAATATTTTAGTTTTCACTATAAAATTGACAATAAAAAGGTTGTTATAGGTGGTTATTCCGTAGAACACCTAATCTCAAGGTAAAATGGCTGAATGAGAATAATGTGTCCATGGAGGAAGGTCCCTTTTCCTGTAGATGATCACAATTTTTAAGCAGGGGTTTAGATACCCTGATTGCCAGCCACTTGCTGCAGTCAGGCAAATTTTTTAGAGGCAAAACCTTTTGATTTCTCCAAAATTAACTTTGAAATTCTGTTTTTTTAAAAATTGTTCACTTCACTGAAAAAAATTTGTCATCTATCTTTGAAATTTTCCTCATGTCAGTCCGATGCCTTACACTGAATGTCACGATTGGTAGATAATTAGGCCTGTCATTTACTTCATCCATTGGTTTAAGAAACATCCTCTTTGGCAATGGAACATTTTTATTTCCTGAGAGTGGACGCTCCACATGCGAATTTGACGATGGAGGTCAGTTGGCTCTGAAAGATGCATGACCAATGTGAACTCTGGAGTAAGGGATGAATGGAAATGAGAGTCAAGCTTTATATCTCGACATGGAGAGTACCTTGACCTTCCAGCAGCCTAAGATTTCTTTTTTAGCTCATTCTTTAGAAGTCTCAAGGGATTGGCTCAAAGTAGAATCTTTCTAAAGGAGACAATTCTAAGGTGAAACATGTTTTCCACTGTTTTCCCCTAACTTTTATCAAAAAGATGCATTTTTTTCTCTAATGGCAACAACTTTAATGAAGTTTTTGTTCTTTCCAGAGCAATTAACCGCTGCCAGAGTAGATGTCAGTTGTTTAACGGAAGAGGCGGACCGATGCAGAGAGGAGGCAAGAACGGCACAAAACTTAGCCAGTACATTACAAGAGAAACTCACTGTTTTAGAGCAAAAGTACAATGATGTAAGTATTTTCTCATCTACTCTAAAAATTCATTATTTTAACTACTTGCCAAATTTTAGCCTTGTAATACTGTCTCCATGCTCCATGAAATATTATCCTCTAATGGCAAAAGCTAAAGGTGTATTCAAACTTCCATTTGGCATAATTATCCCAGAGTGTCTACCGGTCTGAGAAACCTGAAAAACAGATAATTTTCAGGGAGTTTTGTTAGGTCAAGGAAATGAAGAAAAATTCAGGGAATTTCATGAAAAAACTGGAAATTTGAAATCTGACAAAAACATCAGCGCTCTCCACATAATCAAGTAGTGTCTTACAATTATTTTAATGCCCGGAGTTATGTTCTGCATAGTGAACAAAGGAATACTTTTCAATCAAAAATTGCCAATTCTTGTAAGCTGATGATTTTTACCCGAAGAAAAAAGGTTCACATTCAATGACGTTCGTAGTGAAATTAATGCCAAAATTGTTTCCTTTTCTGCTCTATTTATATAACTGTTGATGTGGAAAGTCAGAAAAATTTGATTATTTTGGCCAAGGAAAAACAGGAATAGTCAAGGAATGTTTTCCTGTTGAGTCTGTAGACGTAGATACTCTGTACTTTGCATGTCTATAATATTTTTTAAATATTTACGGGTGTCTTTTTATACATTAGCAGAGTTCTTAACTAAATTAGTCAATATTCTCTCAAAAATTTCCTCTCCTTTAATTCAATTCATAAATTTTAAAAGTACACAATTTGATAAATCATATTGTTCTGTCTCCCTCAGTGAATTTTTACTCCAAATTTTTGTGGTTGTAATCCGGTAATAATTTAGTTCCTGTACATTTTCACAGCTGACCATGTCGAATGAGGATCTAAGCAATATCCTTGGTTTTGCAAAACAAACCCAGGAAGAATTAACTACAGAATTAGCAGAATTAAAAGAGAGGTATGCCGAGGTGCTCGGTTTCTTACACGACACTCAAGAAGCCCTCAAACAACTGCAGAAAAAGAATCAGCCAACGGCCAAAGGTGGATTGCTTTACGCTTCGCTTCAGCCTCAAACTTACCAATCGGACTCATTGGCCATGGAGTTGGAAAGCTCACTTTTTTCGGAGCTCAGTTTGGATTCCGGAATCAGTACTGAGCGTGGACTGTAAGTCAAAGATTTTTTCTTTAAATACCTTTTAACAAGTAGCGAATCCTCTCCAGAAATAAGGACCCTCTTGCAAGGAAGCAAATTCAGAAAGTTTGTTGAGTCAGATTAAAAATTCAGTATTTAAGTTTCTCTCTAAAATTTTTGAAGTATCCAAAAAGTAAGTTGCAAGCAGATTAGTTAGAATTTGTGCCATTAGAGGCCGTGCATAAATTCCACAATGCTCAAGGGGGAGTGGGGTTGAGAAGAGCCTTACGCTATTTTGTTTTTATGTTTTGTAGGATTGGAACCTACATCACAAAAGCATTTGAAGGGAGAAAAGGAGGGGTAAAAAATGCTGAAAAAGTGCGTTATGTAATTTATAAATGCTCCCTTAATGTACCTAAAGTTGCATTATCAGTCGACAGGTTTGAATCGTAAATAAACATCGTAATACCAATCAAATTTTGTTGAATTACTGCTTTTGTGTAATTTTTAGGAAGAATAAAATCATCAGTTAACCCTTGCATCAAATAAACAGTATCTTTATCCGAAAGCTCAAAAAAGCCATTCTTCTTCCAACATGAAATTGACAACTTAAAATTCCCCTTCAAATTTGCTAATAAGTATTCTTTCTTAGTCTCTCAGTATTTTTTTTTATATTACAGACCTCATTATAAGAAAGTGTTCGACACTGTCAGATGTGCCTCACGAGGAAGTACTATTTCCAGCGGTCGAAGTTCCGATTGCAGCCCATATCCTGATCCATTGATGAAGCCCAGTCTATACAAACCTATGTCTAGTGACCTCCTAATGACATCGTCGTCGCAGCCTCGTATGAGCTCCCACTTCTCCAACTCCGGCTCAAGATCTCATCGTCTCTCATCAATAACATTAGATTCCGCAGGCTTGACTGATTCCGATTCCAGCATTGATGACTTCTACAACTACCCGTAAGTCCTTTCCTATTTTTCAACGTTTTCAAAATACTAGGTTTCATACTTTGAAAATAATTGTTTTAATAAATGTCTAGTAGTGTTAAAAAATGAAAATTATGCAATTGTGCCAAATCGAACATTGAGTCTTTTCAAACTGTAATGTTAAAAAAAAAAAAAAAAAAAAAAAAAAAAAAAAAAAAAAAAAAAAAAAAAAAAATATATGTAGTTGAGGTAAGAATGAAGGGGCATCAAATGAACAGTTTAAAAATTATGCTGGAGTACTGCTGCATTAAGAGTGCATTATCAATCATTATTACATTGAATGCTGTCATTGCATAACCTCTTGAACGACATATTTGAATCTGTAAATCATCATAACAACAGAAAGGTTTTCATTGACCTGAAAATATAAATATCAGGAACACTCTTTGAACTAAAAAATTTGGCTGTGTGCCAAAAAATCAGCTGAAAGATAACAAAATTTGATGGTTCGTTTCAAGAAAATCCTGGGGGAGTTGGAGAAAATTTTTGTTTCTTATCAGGGAACAAGCTCTTAAAAATCAAGAAATGAGAATGGTCAAGCATTCAAGACACCATGGTCTTTATAGCTCTTCATTTGTTGACTAAATGTAATCATCAATTATAACATTGAGCATTTTTTATGCAGGTCATCTGCGGCTGGCGTTCCTGGGATTCCTGGCTCTGAAGATTTGGCCGCTGCACTTAATAAACTTACACCCGGTGAAGTCGCGGCACGACGCCGACAACTAAGCAGCGGTGTTTTCAGTTCGCATGTCTTCGAACCATCAGAAACCCCACGAACTCCTGACTCGATCATGTCCACGGGGAGCAGTGGCGCTTTCCCCTTCGGTTTCGGCATGAGTATGAGCACTCCTTGGCGTCTTCCTGAAAAATTGCAGGTTCGTAATGTTGCGTTCCAAGCTCTTGTTGAATTTCATTCATGGCAAAAGCAACCGACGTGTCAATATACTCAGAATTTAGTTATTGCTAACATTATTCAAAATATAAATGTTAAATGATCCATTGTCGGATGTCAAATCTCAATACGATGAATTTAAAAAGAGAAAAACACGCACCTTGTTTTGCAGAGCTACAGACGTCCTCTTATTTTTGGTTTTTTTTAAAAAAAATATTACATATTAGTTATTGTGACAATTTAGTTAATTTCTCTTTGCCCACTCAAGAATATCATTTGTAAATTTTGTAAAAAAAAAAGAAAAAAAGAAAAAGAGGTTGAGAATATCAAAGATTGAAGCACGAGTTTAACTTTGAGAACACAACAGTACACATGTGTATTTTTCCAGTTCAATCGTCGAAAAATGTACACAAGAAAATGGGTCAACGACTCAAATACCCACAAAATTCTTAAGACGTTTTGGTGTTGCCTCAACCCCTTCATCAACCAGGAAACACACAAACAAGAATGATACTAACATGAAATCAAAACCCTCAGATTTTATATTTTGTAATTTTTGTATTTTCCTGGTTGACAAAGTGGTCGAGACCACCCCAAAACACCCCAGGCATTTTATATGTATCCTACCCCTGTTTACCCATTTCCTTGTTCTCACATTTGTTTTTCTTTGAATCATTCAGGCTATTTTTGTGTATTATTTTTTTAATCCCTGATAGGTGTTGGATAAATATGAGTTCATCCTCTATTAGAAAATATATTGCATGTTTTCCTATGAAGCTATGCATTCTTCTCTTGAAGGAAGAAAAACAAGTATATAAGCTGAGGGGAAATAGGGGGAAGCTATTAGAAGACAAGATTTTTAAAACCTTAGCAGGAAAAAGAAAAACTGAATTGTACTGAATTCAGTACAACTCAGATTCAAACCCACGTTGGCAAAACTATCTCTCCTGTCAAAAAAAAACAAAAAAAAAACGCGACAAATAAATACATTTTCTCACTTTGTCCTCAGATTGTGAAGCCCATGGAGGGATCTCAAACTCTGCAACAGTGGAGTCAGTTAGCAACACCTTCAATGGGGGGCTTACTCGATGAGAAGCCAGGAATCAAAATCCGCGGTGGTAAAGACCTAGAAGCACTTGGTCTTCACGTATTCACATTGGACGATGTTGAAGAGGATGATGAAGTGATACACCCTGGAAAGAGCTTCCAAAATTCCGGCACAATTTATACTTACACCAACAGTACCGTTATGCATCCTGATGATAATACCAGTGTCTCGGCCAGGTAAATATTGCGCTCATGTAGCCGCGTTTTTTTCTTTTGTTACCCTTGATCTTCTGCGCAAACTTACAACTGGGACTACTTGTTACCACAACAGTTTAAGTTACAGAAGAATACTTCAAACATTGTTTCCCAGATAAAGGAACGAATCTCAAATCTAAGGTTGTAAAATTTACTTACACAGTTCCTTTGCTCACATGATAAAGACTGCGCAGTATCTGTCCAAATTTTGTCAATTTTTGTATTTTAATAATCCATCAAAAATTTTTTGAAATTCATAAGGATAAGTGTTCATTAGTCTGAGTAAAAATACAATTGTAAAAGGAAAGGCCAAGTGAAAAGTAGTTATGGTCCTTTGTCTCGAAAATGACAACATGTCATACTAATGTCAAATGTAAAAATTTCCAACTGAATTTTATACCCAGTCTTTTTTTTTTCATTTTAAGACATGCTCCCTACCTGCAGAGAAATCGATAGGGCTATGCAAGTGAGCGAAAGTGCAAAAAGCGGGCATAATGTTTGGTACAGATAACCAAACCGAAAGTTTTACATAGGTGTGATCTGTGAATATTTTGAGACAAAAAAGACGCTTAAAATTGTGGAACCACATCAAAGTTTCGACAGTGGAAAGTTTGCCGCTCAGAAAAACATTGTCTCGAGAAAAAAGTTTTTAAAATTTATTATATCCATTTTTAAGGCAGGAAATGTTCAAATCAAAGAGTGACTTTATTCCCTGTATCGTTATAAATTGAATTCAATCACTCTTAACTCATTTTTTAGATAAGCAGAAAGAATTTCTGCATAAATCTAAAAATCCGATTTCTCCTTGCAACATAATTATGTTTTCTCCCCAGACAAATTTTCTCTATATCGTAAGATTTCTATCTCCATGGAAGGTCACATACTTGCATTGTCTTTGGTGCTTTTAATATTCTTCAAACTAAAGGTGGAACTATCACAACTAATCACTTGTTTTTTTTCATGTTCGCAGCATCGCAGGAAGTAGGATGTCGACGGCAGCCAATAGTCGAGCGAGTAGTGTAGCGCCTACTCCTTTGTCTCGTTCGCGACGCAACTCGTGTTCGACATTCTCAACTGGCCTGGGTCTTGCCAAGTTACTAAATGAGCGAGGCATTCAAGCTGCGACTCCTTCAACCTTCGTTACTCCACGTTTCTCTCCAACAGCGACCCCTTGCAACAGCCCCACGAGGTCTCGCAGCCCCTCTCCCACTTTTAGTCCGTTTACTTTACCAAGTAAGTTACAGGGTTATTTAGATTTTAAGGTGTTTCTATGTGTGATGGTTTGCAGGAATTAAGGCCTCAACACCAAAATACTCAAAACAGAGATATTGATAGCACCTCTTAAATAAAATCTTATGCCAACAAATACATTCTATTCTATGCTGCCACTTCAATTCTCTACCGACTTAGTCAGTTAGATCTTTTAAAAGAAAAGGTAGCTTTATTGTCTTATTTAATTGATTTTAGTCGTCAGCATAAGTTATGAGAAGTCTCAAATCTTTTTTTCCCCTGTTTTTCATAGGTTACTTAATGTCCAGTGGTGCTAAACTTCTGAGACGAACTTTAACCGGGTCATCATCTCACAGATCGCGAAGTACAAGTCGCCATCGTGATTCTACACCTGACAAAAAAGTAAGTGATCTAAGATGCATCGTTTTCAATGCAATTTTCTGGAATATTTTGTCATCGATATTTTTACAAGGGTCTCGAACAAACGAACCACATTTAGGAAAAAGAAACCAGTGCAATTCCACTGTTGTTAAATTGTTGCTTCTTCATAATCATCTAAAAAGTCTCCCAAAACAGCAAAAAGTTTTTAGTACACATACTTAGGACTTTTTAAAAGAAAAAAAGAAGTCGCACGATTTTGAAAACGCTGTAATCACGCTGGTTCCTTTTTTGCTAAATGCGATCCAAATTAACGGTGAAATTGCAGAAATGCGTTTCCCGGTTTGTAGCGTTGCAAACTTTCTGTCATGTTTTATTTTCTAAATAGAAAACTACACAGTATCATTTCTTAGTATCTCTCAGATTTGAAATTAGAAAATATTTGTATTCTAAGCCCATTCAGTACTCTTGATTATTGGTCTGTCAGATAATTGGAAATTTTCTGTCAAATATGAATTTAAAACCTATTATTGCACCATTTAGATTACTCAAACACTTTACGCTTTTTTTTTTAAAGAAATGAGCCTACCTAATCTTGTCATATTTTACGCTTTTTCAGCCCCTAGGAGAAATTAAACTTGTAGAAACGATTGAGCGAATTGGTGTTAATACCCTAATGTCAACAACAGCATCGGACACGAATATCTCAGATATCTGCTCGCAGCTGAGCAAGCCATCAACAATCGACGCCACAAGCTCGTGCCTTGGGATTCCTGGAAAACCAGGAAGCGGAATCTTGGAATCCAGGCTCAAAAGTTTGCCGAACAATGCGAGAAGGCGCCCGACATCCGGGAAGCAACGCCAAGACCTGGGCGTGGTTTTAGGGTCTGTCTCTAGTCTGCAGAAGAACGATGCTGCAAACCCACCAACAACGGCAGCTCAAAGCACCTCCTCGCCCGCCCTTGGAACGCTCAACAAGGTCTTGTTCGGGAGGAAGGGCGGTCTCCTGTAGAGAGAGGAGTTGTAGAAATCGCCTAGACTTTCTTATTTTTGTTTCCATGTTTTTAGGGCATTTGTTTTGTCGAAGGGGTGTCCAACTATCAGAAAAACAAAATGTCAGACCTACCTATTACAAATTTTGCGTGTTCGGGATGAAATTATGACTGAAATTATGAGATTATCCCATGAGTGTTTTTTTTAGCAACAGGCGAGGTAGACTGATTAGTGATTAATTTTCTTAACCGCAAAATTTGTTTTTTTTTCCGATCGCCTAAGAAAATTTTCGTCTCTTGGTTGTAAATTTTTGTTCTAACCGGAAAATTTCTTTTTTCATGCCATAATTTACAGTTGGTAACATTTTTTCGCGCTTACCACATTCATTAATTTCTCGCTCTTTTTTCCCCCAAATATATCCTAAATACCTGGAATATTTTTATTTATTGATCAATCACATGTGGCAATACCGTGTAACCTCTCTTGTACGTTTCAAGTTTATCATTTTTGTGTTTTAAAACTCAGAAAAAGTCAGTTTCAAAATATTTACATCAAATTTATGTCAAGTTTCAGTCAAATTGTGTAAAATTAAGTGTTCTTTAGCGGAAAATTTTGAAGGATAAATCCTGTACAATCTCTAGTAAAGTAAAAAAAAATTGAAGGAAAAACATTTCACAGATTCTTTGAAAAATAATTAATTTGTAGAAATATTAACAATTATCATTGAAAGTTTCAAGTTTGTGTCAGAACGACCGCTGTAATGAATTTTAGTACACTTTCCTGATGATCAGTCAGTTAAAATTTGCCCCTCTCTTGGACGCCCCTTCCACAGCTACTATAGTTATTTAATTTGTGATAATTTTGATTAGATCAAAATATTTTTATTACTTGTTCTTATTGAACAGCGTGCGGTAAAGAAAAAATAATAGAAAATGAGATGAAGAGAAGACAAAGTAAATAGACTTGTTTATATATTTTTTACTAAAATAGAATTCCCAGCATTACATTAGTTGAGCAAAATATATTGTTAGCATAATTGTCTAAAGTTCCATCAGTTTTTAATTTTTTGTGATTTTTCTGTTTTCTATTGTTACATTATTAGAAGCCCTGTACCAAGGTTCTATTAATACTTATCCTATTTCAGACCTGTAGTTCTGTAACTGTTAATGATTCCTAACCATCAGAAGAAGTATCAGTTACCTATCACAAAGGCTTAGATTGCTCTGACTTCAACATTTTAAGAGTTGATTCCTTCAATTGGAAGGGCTCCTCGCTTCCATCCTCTATATCCAGAAGGCGCTTTTTCATCATAGTGAATCATGAAAGTATTTCAGAAGAACAAAAGAAGCCAAGTATTTATCTTAATTTTCCTCCAAGTGTATTTCCCAAGCTGAAAGGTGAGTTTTTACTTAGAATGGCAAATAGTGGAGCTCATTATGCGATAATCTCTGGAAGAATCGAACCGATATTTTTCTCAAGGGCCTGAGCGCCAAAATTCAAGTTTCGGGAAAAACGCATAATAATTTGCCGTTCGGTGTACGTTTAATCTTTCCAGCTCAGTTTCAATAGGTATTTTTTAGACACAAACATTTTTTGGGCTCGAAAAACTGAGTGTACATCTAATGTCACAGTTTTCTCCTTTTTTCTTGAAACATGCATTTTTGCGCTTGGGTTGGTAAGAAAATTATTGGCTCAGTTTTGCAACATGAATCGTCTCGAACTTGGTTGCCGCATCGGCAAACCAGTACAACAGTGCCATTTTACTTCTGAAACATTTTTCTCTAGACATGCCTTCGGATGGAAGTTTCCTAGTTCCACCTAAAGTTTTTATCCAAAGAAATTCAAGAAATGTTGAAATAGTAGCTAATTAAGTCTTTTTATTGTATTCCTTGTAATTCTACAGTTTAAAAATTCAAGCTAATTATATCATCTTAATTGTTAAGTTAGTCTCTGAAGACATGATTTGTGGCATTAATGGAGATCAAGGAACAAAATTCCCTGAGTACTAGTTAAGTAAAATTTTAGTAATGCTATATCTTATTGTCGTAAAACCGTAGGCTTTTGTTTTTTTGCGATGACAGGATGAACCTGAAGTATTTAAAGTACCCAACCAAATGATTTTTTATTCTTAATTAACCGAATAACCTCAATGATTTAGTTTTTGAAATCAACACCCAAGTCATGAATGGCATTTTTAGCTTCATAACTTCCTTTGGAAAGTGCTGTTTTCACTTGCTGCCGTGGCAACTGAGGATTTATCCGCTCAGCTCTAGATTCCGCTAATGCAGCGGCTAAGTTTCGCTTTCCTCTCGCTTTTTCCGATCCTCTCTGTTAACTTGAAATTAGCCATGCAATAATAATTTTTTCATAGTCCGGGAATTCGTGCTTTTCTGTTACTTTACGATGCTGCAATCAAAGATTAAATTTTGTGTTTGTTTGATGATTCGGTTCGTCAGCTTTTAAAGGGACAAATTTTTGGCCATGGTAATCATCAGTTCCGATTGTTGGCAGAATATATGATTCTCTACCCAGAGCTTTTTTAAAGGACATGAAAGCATCCGTTTTCATTGGGTAGGCTCTATTCAGAGTAGAGTTTTTTCATCATCCCTGGAAGTCAAATTTCTGCTTCATTTCAGTTTTAGTTCCTGCAGTGTTATTTTTCAATTTGAATGCTGTTGTCCTTTGAAAATTGAGGATTCGAGTTAAAAGTATGAACATTTGATAATTTTGGAAACAGTTATTTTTCAAGTTACAGAACGAAGCGAAACAATTTCGAGTGATACTGAAACAGCGCCCAAGTATTCCTAATTTTTATGTTGTTCGGGTGTTCATACAAGGTCTGTTAGATTAGAAACCGGATTTTGGTCATAACTAGCCCACAATGCGTCCGAATTAGGTTTTCTTGAGCTTTCCTGATCGCTGGAAATATACTTAAGAACGCTACGTTCACAGATTTTGTTTATTTTGATCAGTGTTTATTCTGTGTCATCTTGAATACGAGTAAGTCAGGTGCGTTTTGCGATTTTCATCATGCGATCACTGATGGAGCAAAGATTCAACATTAAATTTTGTTTTAAACTCGGTATACCTTGTACCGAAACTTTTGGTATATGCTAAGTAAAGTTTACCATGATCATTGTATGAGATGTTTGCACTGTTTTGAATGGGTTAAACGATTCAAAACTGGTCAGGAGTTCGTCAAAGATGAGGAGCATGGGAATCGACCCTCAACGGCAACTGACATTTGTCACGTGAAAGAAGTTCGGGCAAAAAAGCTCGAAAATGGTCGTTTCGAGCTTGTTGAACAGAGTAATATTTCTGAAGGCTCTGTACCTACAATTTTGATAGAATATGTAGACACGCATTGAGTTTCAGGTACATTTGCCCCTTTATTGTTGTCCGTTGAACGAAAATCCAACCAAATGTCAATTTCCCTTTAGCTGCTTGCACGCTCCAACAATGATCCTACATTTTTGGATAGGATAATTTTCGGTGACAATACTTTAGTGTACGGCTACGATATGGATACGAAACTCCAATCGTCCTTGTGGGTTGAAAAGTGTAGTGCAAGACCGAAAAAAGAGAGACAAGTTCGGTCAAACATAAAAATCGCAAAACACCCTTGAGGTTGCCTTACTTCAAGCCACATACCAACGAAGCTGATTAGGATTTTTCAAATTTGTGAACGTAGCGTTCTTAAATATATTTTCAGCTATCAGAAAAGCTCAAGAAAACGTAATTTGGACGCATTAAGGGCTAGTTATGACCAAAGTCCGGTTTCTAATCTAACAGACCTCGTATAGTATTGTTAGGCACTGACTGTAGTTATAGGGAGGTTTAACCAAACGGAAATGTACACAATGAACTCTTACAGGGTGGATATTTATTTTATGTCGAAAATTTTTACCCTTGTGAGTTTTTACTTTGGAAAGATTTGATTGTGCTTCTCTTAAGGGTTATCGTTCCTTGGAGCAAGATGTGTGCTTTCGTGCCATTTGCGCTAAAGTCTTGCATTGTTTTACTAGCTTCATTTCATGTTTGCAATCATTTATGATTCCTTCAAAAGTTTTAATCCATAGGTTGTAGGTTTCGGAAGACTGTTAGGTTAGTGTATCTCTAAGTTTCCTTTTGTTGATGTTTTTGGAATTGAAGACTTGCTCACTCTTCGGAAAATTTTGAACGAGAGTTTCTTCCTTTTTCTGTAATTTTGTGCTAACTGCCAGAGCTTAATGTGTGTGTTTGATAAGCCTCTTTTCTAAGGTGCAAAATCAGAGTTAAAGACTTTGGTGAGCATGACGTAAAATTTTCGAACAGTTAGGAATCATCTTCCATAAATTTTAGCATCCATTCATTGCGATGTGTCCAATTAAACCTGGTGGATTTGAAGTTGGATTTCTCAAGTTTTTATGTTCGCTTCTTTTATTATTTCCATCCGTCAGCTTCTCTTTTTTCAACCGGAGAGGAAGAAAGAGTAAATGAAGCTAATGAAAGCATCTGATAGCTAATTTTATTTTTTGACGCCATTCCTTGCTAATCTCTTTCCTGTTTCTAATTTGTAACGTTGCTTCAGGTTTGTATTACAACTTTCCTGTTGCATATGACTCAATCAGAGTATCCCTGTGCTGCTTTGTCGACCAAGAGCGTGTAATTTCTTACACTAGCAAATCTTTTTAGAACGTTTTGCCTGAGATAAACATACTCTTTGTTTCTTCCTGAATAACTGCCGTAATCTAGCTAGAAAATCATACTTGTGTATTATTCTTCTTTGCTAGATAAAAATGTATATACTTGGTGTCAAAAACTAAAATTTATATGCACAGGTCAGCCAATGCTCAGAATTGAGTGCAATAATCATAGAAATCTTGCATTTAGGTTGATCCACGTTATCAAAAATTTTCCTGGTTCAGTCGCTGCTTTGAAGACTGCAAGAGCAGTGCGATCAAATCAAGAAAAGTTTTAGAAACTGTTTGATAACGCTGGAAAAATTAAATTATTCACTCAAGTATACACGGAATTATTTTTGCCCGTGAGTAAGAATGTGTTCCGTAAAACATCCTTTGTCTGAAACTTGGCAACATTCTCAGCCTGAGATTGGATTTTTCAGTTTTTGGGGTCCAACATATGTCCCTGATATTTGATGGCATTTATTATTGAATGCTCTCTCCAGTGCTTTTGATGCTTCAGACTTGTTTTGTCTCCTCGTGCCCTAGTTTTTGAATGTCACTAATGTACCTCAAGTTTATTTTTCTATAGACTAGCGTGGCTAAATAAAAATACTATTAATTTATTAATGGAAATGTTACCATTTTTGGACTTGATGCTTTTCGGTCGAGTTCAAAGTTGTATCATACTTGTTCTCAAAGTGCTATTTCGCCATAAGAATCGAAGAATATTTCTGTGTAAGTGTTCCATAAATCTATTCTGAGTATATGTAAATGTTTGCCCCAACTGTACAGAATTGTTAAGTTAGGTAATGAAACAATTTTAAGCTAGAATTTTTCCTTTAACTTTAGAAGAATCAAGAAACTGGAAAGATGAATTTTTATTACTTTTTTTTCTGCTAACGGCCACTGATGAAATACTTGTATTACTAAATTTAGGGAGTTCCGACCCGCCTACCTCGTAACGCCATTGTACTATAGGTCACTATCCTGTAACATGTGAAAACCAAATGGCATAATTCGAGCTCTCCTTGAGCTTTCTCCTCCCTTAAAGCGTTAAGTATTTTATGAATGGCCTGATATAATTATGATAATTCTATTTTCCTTTTGATCCCATGCCTTAATTTACTTTTTTTCCACAATTTTGCTCACAACTATGCGTAAATTTTTAGTGATACGGGAAGAAATTAAAAAGTAATTGGGGAGAAGCTTCATGCTAAATTTGTATCATCATTGGTTTTTCTCTAGTCTCTGTCTGTCTCTATCCGAAGCGTCTGTTATTTTTTCTTTAGGTGCTTGCTACTTGTTTTTATTGTTATTGTAACAAATAATGTACTACTAATTATTTTATTTATTTTGTTCCATAATTTCAGAAATCCTCTGAAAATAAATTCCTTCTAATAAATAGAATCTGAATTTCCTCTTGTTTTTTTCATGTTCAGTGTTAAGTTTAGGAAAAACAAGGAGTTTCATCGTTGAATTCATCGTGTGAGAAGCTATAAGTTTTTCTTGAGAGATTGTAATGGACCAGTACTTGATCATATCGCAGAATAATTGAAAATGTGACTTTAATCCAAATGCTTATTCTTATGTCTCAAATTAACATAGATATTAGCCTTTGAAAATTATAGGGACTGACATCATCCACCGCGTAGGTGTATATTGCCACTTTCTCCCCCATCTATTATTTGTAATACAGTCGTACCCTATAATAATGTTTTCGAAGGGGAATCTAAAATAGAATGTTGTTTCCGGAAAAATGTTCTTTTGAGAAACGCTATTATAGGAAACAACTGACTGAGACTCAAAGAAAATGAACGTTGTTCATTTCAAGGAACGTTATAACAAGATCCGACATCATGCAAATTGAGTGTTTTTAAATAATTCTGGAATATGAGCAACTGATCGATTCTCAACAAATGTTCATATTTTCATGAAAATGTTTCCCAAGAGATAAATCCAATATTTTTATTTGCACAGTATTTACATGAGTCTGAACTCACTCATGGATTTTATGCTTTGAAAGAAGTGAGAGAAGGCTTTGTAAGAGTTTTTAATTGGATGAATGAAGTTAAATTTTCCAAAAAATAAAATTATTAATGATTTTGAGTAGACGATAGCCTGTGTCACACTATCAAAGCTAGCCATCAAAATATCAAAGCTCCATCAAAATATCAAGGTCAGGTGTTGTGATTGACTTATTCGATGACTAGGACCAATCAAAGTACTTGACCTTGACATTTTGATGGAGTATTTTGATAGTGTGACACGGGCTTATGTTTCAAAGATTCCTTTGCAAGAAAGTTTGACCCCAAGAGTTCAATTTCAACCTTTCCGATTTCAGTGTAAACAATTTATGGCCCTTTGGATCAAATGTAATTTGAAAATTTCAAACTTGTTTTTTCTGAAACAGGAGAACGTCTCTTACCTCCTCCGCTCACTAGAGGTCTCAATTTTTTCGACACAGCTATTGAAACTCATTAGCCTATGACCGACTGCTAGTTGATTATTTCTGTTAAAATGTATTTTGGCTACCAAAACACAGACTGACCTATGAAGTGAAAGTGAATCCTGAGAAAACGTAAAGTGAGAGACTGAAGAGAATGAAGAGTTCGCCTCCATATGAGCGCACTAAACTAGGACGATTCTTCAAAGTTTTGTTTGATCTTGGGTTCCATAGTAATTTAAAGAAATGCAAAAAAAAATATTTTCAAAACTACCCTTGAACAACCTCTCTATTTTTTATTAAGAAAGTAGTTAAAAACATCACCCGGTTTCTGCGTAGCTCAGCATTATTTTACGTAAAGATTAATTCGTGTGTAAATCATTCTAAAATGTTGGATGTAACAGATTTCCAAAAGCACTAGAAAAATAACCCCTGAAAATCTTCAAATGCGTTTTGTAAGAAGCAGGACTGTCAATTGAAAATTATCTGCAATTCATCTGCCCTTGTCGGAAGCCCCCTCAACTGGAATTGAGCTTATATTTGAGAAAATAATTTGATGGAAGAAAAGGAAAATCATTAATTTCCAAGAAACTTGTGTCAGTTTAGATTTTTATCAGAAGGAGACTTCTCTCAACGTGAACTTTTAGTTGAATTTCAATAGTGAATTTTCCTCGCTAATCGTCCTGGCCAGGACTAGAATTATCAAACAATTTGCACCAAAAAACTTTTTTTCAATGTGCAAACATTGATCGTCTTGGTCTAAAATGTTCAAAAAACATGTATTGATTGAGGTACTTCAAATTAATTTTTTTTTCTCCGAAAAATAAACAGTAATATCGTTTCATGTTCAGAATTTTCTTTGTAAGCCTTAGGAAAATCGAAAAAAATTCCAAGAAATAATATCGATCAGCTTCCTTTAAAAGATTTTGATTTGTAATATGCCATTTAAAGTTCAAACCTTGGAACGTGCACCAACTGGATGTGTGCAGTACCCCTCTGCTCATCGAAATCAATTTTTCGAAAAGCTGACTCCATTTTTTAACTGTTTATCTCACCCTCACTGATTATCTATTCAAAAAAGGCGAACCAAGAATTGATATTTATCAAGTAAATATCAAGAATACATTTTAAAATGCCACTTGTACCATCAATTGGCATCCCCTTCATTACCTCTTACCAATAAAGAGGGTAAACCCCCCTTTAGTTTAGGCAGCTTGAAATTTGCCACGATTCCTCAAAAACAGTTACAGTTTTAAGATGACATTCAAATACTTTTCACAATAGGGAAACATCCTTGGAATCTGATGGGAGAAAAAAACAGTAAAGGTTAATTGCATAAATAATTTTAAATCTTATTTCTCAAATGGAATTTTGTTTGTTTTTCAGAATGAGCGTGGATCCATGGAGCGAACAAGCAACGTACTCAGTCGATTGTCAAAGAAGAGCAGCGAGTCAAATGATGTCCAACTGGCGTGGTCGTCTACAGAGTCACATCCGGAGTGGTTCCAGCTTTCTGGACACCCGGATTGTTTTGCGGTTGCAGGACCAGGCACTATTTGGAAAAAATGTAGCGACTCAACGGAGAGAGATGTATACGAAGCCTTGTCGAAAGAGCCCACGCTGAAAAGTACGCTTCACCTAATCTTGCTTTCATTTTCTTTCTAATGGATTAGTTAAGCACATTACAAGATCTAATTTGTATGGTTATACTATATTCTACTCTTTATAGTATTTCATACTATAAAGGAGGGAAAGGATCGTAATGCAGGAAAATACAAAATTAAGGGAGTACTCTGGTTGAAACTCAGTGGACAAATTTTTTCAACTTTTTTGGTTTTTTGATAATTTATAAGGAATCTTTGCTGAGAAGGTAGTATAGTTACAGTTTCTTCAATCTCGTTCAAGTTAAAGTCCATGAATAAAGTGGGGAGTCATCATACGAAAGTTACCATACATTTCCTTCCAAAATCAGGCCCCTCTGAAAAATAAGCTTTTGCAATTTTCTCAATCTCTTGATGGATACATCCACTTCGATACCTCAATCAGCTATACATGCTAATTAATAGCTACCTATCTCAGTTATTCCTATCCAGTTTTTGTCTTTAAAATGACATACAGTTTATTTTCTATTATTTGTTGAAGAGAATTTTTGATCCAGGACTCTGTATTTTTTTATTCCATCTCAAAAAAACCCAAAAAATTAATGCTTTTGTAAAAATGTTTAAGTAATTATTATTGTCACTATGTGTTTTGTTAGTATGTGTAACATGTGTTTCACAGATTATTCTGCCAGTTAAAAAAGTTTTTTTCTTCACAGATGTGATACCTCGGCATCTGCGGACAGTAGAACATGATGGACAGACTTTCATTGAACTTCAAGATCTCCTTGACGGATTTGAGGACCCCCAAGTGATGGACATCAAGTTAGGTGTGCGCACGTTCTTAGAATCAGAAGTTCAGAACACCACTGCAAGACAAGATCTGTATAAAAAAGTAAGTACGAAACAAGTCACTCCTAATTTTGTCACGAAAAAGTTGGCACATAGGATATTCTTCCATCCACACACAAACAGGAATATTAAGTGCCAAAAAGACTATTAACTACTTCCATTTACAAAACAATCTGCTCAATCGCTAATAGAGGCTTTTTGTGTCAACCTAAGTAGCAAAATGAAAATATTTTATGGAAACAAAATTAATGAAAATAATTTAGAAAATAAAGAAAAAGTAGTTAGCATTATGGTTATTAGACAGAAAATTTAAAGTGAGTGCCACTATTTACAAAAGAAAATAGGTCTATTTCCTGTCTACAAAATGGATCTATTTTCTGTCTAGAAAATTGATAGGGCTATTTCCTTAAGAAAAATATTAAAAAACCTGATGGAAAATAGAGAAAAATTGGATATTTTCTTATCTATCTCTTAGAAATTTAAAATTCAGAAAAGAGAAAAAAAAACACAGAATGTAGACAACAGAATTTTCTGCTTTCCTTGTATTTAGTGTCCGGAACATAGACAGAAAATAGAAGTTTTTTAATAATTTTCTTACTTCTACTTGATAATCTATTTTCTTTCCATTTTCTTTCTATTTTATTTCTCTGTCTAAAAAATAGACCATTTCTAAATTAGTGCTAGACAGAAGATAGAACCCCATGCTACTTGGGAATATTTGCTTGAAAAGGAATTTAGAACTGAGTGAAAGTTTTCTTTTCTTTTTTCCATGATCTGTGAAGATGGTAGCGATTGATCCTGATGCTCCTACCGAAGAGGAAAAGCAGCTTCAAGCAGTCACCAAACTACGGTACATGCAGTTCAGAGAGAATCAAAGTTCTACTTGCAGTCAAGGTTTCCGCATAGAGGCTATAAAGGTTAGTTATCCTACATTTTTTAAATTTTCAAAGCCAGAAAGAAGGCTCCACATGGAAAATGATAGAAAAACCTTTCTCAGAAGCTTATTTATTGCTTCTTGGTCTCGCAAAACTGCTCTCCAATCATCATTCTCTTATTATATTGTTTTAATTGATTAAATCAGTCGTCATTTTCCAATCTATGAAAGAAATGAGCACCAGGGAAGGAGGGAATCCGCGCATATTATGTGTGCATGATTCTCTTCATTAGAAAAGGTGTAATTTTAGGTCCAGCCAGACCTGCTTTTCTCGCAGCAGATATGATTTTTTACCCTGTATAACACAGAGTGAAACCTCTCATTTGACAGAAAGAGCCTCTGGCCCTAAGAATATGAATTTTGATACATTTAAATCGAACTTTATCAGTTTTTTTAGGTCATATTATGCCCAATCAATAATTTTAATCCAAATCCTCCTTTTCTACCATTTTTTGTGTTATTACAGCGGGGGTTTTACGGGAACGGCCATTTGAATGCTTTATAAATGCAATCGGAAACAAGGCTTTCTTTTCTTGCATAATTTTACAAACATCATTTTCAGACCAAAATGCAATTTTGCCTTTTGTCATTATTGTTTCAAATTTAATAATTTTCCAAATTTAGTCATCTGTAAGGGATTTGAACAGCCCACCGAAAATCAATTCCAATCGATCACCTATAGCTACACCACACCACTTATCATATTGTTTTTCCCTCACTTATTCTTTAGTTGAGCGGAGAGCCACCTCGAAGTAACCTACAGAGGGTGAAAAGTATAGAGGACGTTCAAAACACACTGAAACTTTTCCTTCAGGAGAAGGAAAAAGCTCGATCTCAATTGGTCACAATTCTCAGGAATATCAGGAATAAGCTGGAGCAAACTCAGTATTTTAAAACCCACGAGGTAAGCCATTCTGGGTCCCGTTTAGAATAATTGCAATTAGTTTTCAATAAGAGCAATAGGTCAGTCATAGAATCATGTTTTGATACCACGTCCTTTGAAAAAAAAAAAAAAAAAAAAAAAAAAAAAAAAAAAAAAAAAAAATTAACTGAAACTTCAAGACTGTACCTATGCTGTTGTACTAAGATAAAACATTGTATGAGCTTTCGGGTATTGCCAAATTCCTTGTTATTAAGTATGAACTTTTAGGGAATTTTGTAAATGTAATTCTTTCAATTTTTCAGCGAATTGTCCTCACAATACGATCTGAAGTAACTGAAAAGAAAAATATTCATAACTTTTTGCAATAAGAAGAATTCATCAGGGAAAATTTGGTAACGTTCGAACCATTGTACAATTTTTTCATAGCACGGCAGAATGGGTAATAGGTACCAACTACATGTAGAACCACGGTTAACAGCATCATTCACCGTGCTTTCTAACAAACCTCATGACCAATTTATTGTTATAACTGAAACTCTTGAGACCTAATTGTGATGATAAAAATTTTTTGACTTCGAAATTTCAATCAAGTGGCCTTTTTTATAATTAGAGATCTCAAGTATCTCACATTTACGCGGTTAATTTTTGATCGCTCAAAATTTGGTTAATCCTTTTTAGGTGGTTGGCAGCAGTATTCTAATCATCCATGACAATTCGAAAGTCGGCGCTTGGCTCATTGATTTTGGGAAAACAAGGCCTGTACCGGATGGACTATCAGTCAATCATCGAACGCCCTGGACCCCTGGGAACCACGAAGAAGGCCTTCTCATCGGCCTTGATAACTTAATAAACATAATAGAAAATTTAAAACTAAAGGAAGTAGCCGTTCAAGACTATGATTAATTTTTCAACTCAAGTAAAGCCGTCCTATCAGTATCGCCAAATCCACCTGAATTTCTACTTAATGTACTTACTTCTGTATAAAATGTGAATAGTTTTTGTATGCTTTTTCATAAAAATACTTTATTAAATCTGGTTTTTTTTTCTTTTCCCGAGTATAAACCTGACCACTCATTGTAATTATGAAGGTGGAGACGGAAGAAGTTTTGTTACGCTCCACAGCCTAAATTCTTTAACAGGGTGTCTAGCATCAGGATCATCCCGATTTTCCCTATTCCATCAGGATTTGAGGTCATTCAGAATTTAATCCCGATTTCATCAGGGTTTGAGGAAAAATCTGTCGTAAAATCAGGGTTTGAGAAAAGTCAGCTGTCCGATCGGATTTTTTTTGGTTTTGCATACGCCAATGCAGAAATTTTACTTTTTCTCCGCAAAAAATCAGGATTTGATAAGGATTTGGAAAAATTTTGAAATCAGGATTTAGCAGTTAGAAATCAGGAAAAATCAGGATTTCCCAAAATGGGAAAAAACTATTGGACACCCTGTTTAAGATTCTACAAGACCATGCAGGATTCAAAAAGCCTCTTAAAGGTTACTTGACTTTTCTTCAAAGTATTCTTAATTGTTGGTGAGGCAAATTTTACTGTGAATTTTTTTTGTATCACACTGCAAAGTTATGTGATTAAATCAAAAGAAAATTGAAAAAATAATGAAATTAAAATGAAAAAAAAAAAAAAAAAAAAAAAAAAAAAAAAAGAAGAAGTAAGACTCCAACAACTGCCCACATTAGAGCAGTCCAAATTTAGATACTATAGGGTGTATTTAGTATATTGAGAATTTGAGAAATTAACAGATGAAGTTTGCTGAGGAGCTATTGCTTGTCCAGGAAGATTCATTTCTAAGGCGTCAAAATAGGTAATCAAAACGCAAAGTATGGCGTAAATTTTTGACCGAATTTTCATAGGCAATAGTACTAGGAATTGCTCAGTTTAGATAACTGAAAAGAAACTTTTGTAACCCTTACTTAAATCGGTTTTGTTGCCGCTCTGAACAAATTGAGCTTCAACCTCAAAGCTCATTTTATCAAATTTCATCATAATCAGTTATAACTCACATTGACATCTTTCAGTAAAAGCAGTTTCTCCTAATTGCTCCTAATTATTGACTTCATCAAGGAATGGATGTTGCCGCTTTCAAAAATATTTTTGGCAATTTCACAATCCAACGCGTGAATTTTAATTTTTTCAAAGTCTCAGGAATTTGGAGTCAAAGTAAAAAAATCTATGATTTCTAACACTATTGGTAAAAATCCAAAATTTATTTATTGTAAGCAATGTCTTGCATCTTCATGGAATTGTTTTCATTCGCCAAATCAAATAGTACATACCAATTGGAATGAGTTAACCAGGAAAGGAACCAACCCACATTTTGGAAAAAATTGAGTTATGAGTGGTTTTGAACTCAACCACTGCTCTACTATCTATTGCCAAAAATTCAAAGTTTTTGTTGGAGCAAATTTTGCAGAAATTGAACTTATAGTTTATCTTTAACATTGAGTCTTATGCAGGAGCCAAACTTTAAACCTCTTTTTCTTGGTTCCATCCTGATGTGGCTTGGTTCCTTTCTGTTTAACTCCGTCCATTTGATACCACACATGTTATGTTCATGCTGATTTCAATATTCAAGGTGTTTTATGTGTCAAGTAACGTACTCTGTTGGACTATAGTATAGTACTATACTATAATTGTATTGACGTATGCGAAAACGTCCGATGTCCAAGCCTCCAAGGCAGTGTTTCAGAATTCGAGTGGACAATTTCGTTGTAACTTAACGACACAAGATGGTTTAAGACGTTAGGAATGTAGAACAATTTTATAAATAATTCCCTAAGTGTAATTAAACGTTTACAAAAGAGATCGATCCTATTCTCAGTGACGTGGGACAAAAAAAACCCACCGCAACTATGAAACCTTGTAGCCTTGTACCAGACAACGGACGTTTTTGCATACGTCGATTCAATTAATATAAATGAAGTAAATCCAAAACAATTCGCCTTCAAATAGGTACATGGCAATTGTTACTACACATGTATTGTGCACGTTGATTTCAATATTGAAGGCGGTTTATGTGTGCATGTAGCGCACTCTGTTAGAGTACAATTGAAATATAGATTAGACGAATCTTCCATAGATGTCGTTCGTCATCCTAGTACTAATTTCCGGTTCACTTATCCGTTTCTGGCCCTCATCAGGGAATTTCTGAAAATGAAACGCAGTGTTTTCCCCAATTTTCCCGCCCCCCTACCCTCTATTAATCCCAAACACAAATATTTTCTCGATCGCGAGTGCTATACGTTGTAACTTTTGAGTTCTTTTTAGTTTAAATAGTGTGGTGCATCTAATTTTATATCAATTTAATTAATGATTAAACGAATTGTTCATCGGTGCGTGTGATAACGATGTGGGAAGTTTCATTCGTTAGCCGCAGGTCCATAAATAGCGGTGGTTTTATCTTGCAAACCATGCATCCTCTGTCCATGATCGAATCCGAACTCGAATGTTTTTGAGTGTGCTAAAAATACTCTCCAAGTGTTATTGTTATTCGTTTCAATCATAATTAATGTCAAGCGAGCCTAATCCTTTCAGTTATTTCAAGTCTTCTATCATCTTCACCTCAGTAATACCGTTTCAATGTCTAACGTCCGTTCGCTGCATTTCAGGGTAACGTATTGTCACTTGATTGCATTCATAACTAGTTTTTCCTCATTGATAGACAGTATTATTCTCATCTGTAGTTCTTCACACTGCTGAGTAAACCACTTCAATTTCTGCTTTGGTTGTCGCTTCACTGCCTCTGGATTGTGGTCATCGAATCCAGTGTCTAACCTCATTTTTGATCTGGAACCATGCCCGAGGGTCTGCGTTGCCAACAAGATGGGATTGTTCTTTTACCTGAAGGCTGTGTTACAAAATTCACAATGTTGTAAACTGGTTCAATTAGTCATGCTTCAAATCATTCTTAAAACAGGTGAATTAAGCTGAATTCACACTATCAGACTTTTCATCCGACATAATTGAACGTAAAGTTGGACGCAAAAAATTTTGATTCAGTTACCGCCGCTGTGTGATATCGTCATTAGCCTGCGGTTCGTGAATATACAGCTTCGGCTCATGTTGGTCAGAAGACACCATTCCACCTTTCTCAAAAAGTTGAATGTGACATCACATTCAAGTTTCCATTGAATTTTTCATCAAATTGTCGTTTTCTCTCGTCAGTATCACACTATCCAACTTTTCATTGGACGAATTGCATCCAAGAGTTGGATGAAAAGTTTTATACAGTGATTAAGGCTTAATGGATGATTTACCGCTGATGATCCCAAACCTTATGACATATTGTGGATCAATGGTATTCATAAGATCCATCGTGCTCTGGAGGTCAATGGATCCTACATAAATGAAGACTCGAGGTATGAAAAACCTTCAAATTTCTCAGAAAGGGTGGAATTGGGTCTCCCGGTGCCTTGCGTCCATGGTTTAACAAGTTCCATTCTGGGCGTAAATTTTGTTGGCCAGTTCTTGTACGGCTGAAAGTTGCAGCAAGAATATAGTTTGTTGAAGATAATCTGTTCTTTCAAGCCCTTACTCTATAATCTTGTACCTGAAGAGGCTTATCAAAAATGCCAGGGATCTTTTATCATGTACCTACCAGTATTCATTAATTAGAAAGTATAACTCTCTTCAGTTTTCACAAAAATGCGCTAGATCCCAGTAGATTTGGCACTAATGAAAGCTATCAAGTCAAACATTTCGAATAGTTTTATCTTTCTCAGTCTAGTTGTAAACCTCAGCAATACAAATATTTCCTACCCTTTTGTTAATAATGAATTTTCCCCCTTTTTTCTAGAATTTACCTAAGATCGGAGTATGATCAGATCTTCTGAAGATTTTGTAGCTGAGTTCAAGTATGGAGTCGAAAGTATTTCGATGGTTTCGCAACGACGTGAAAGTAACACCATTCAAGAAGGTGAATGCAACTTCGCCAAGCGAGTTAGACAGTTGTGTATCCGAAACTGACGCAGGAGATGACAGCAAGAGATCAGAGGATCATAACGACTGCCTATTGTCTCCTGACTCCAACTCAATATCTGATGTGTGGGAGGAGGCGCGGGATGGTGCGACCAAGTCTGGCACCCCTGTATCAGCACTGGACTTCTCAGTAAACGACTTTAGTGATTTAAGTATCAATTTAAGTAATACGAAGAACTCACCTAGTCCTCAGCTTAGCTGTAATAATTTGACTGATCTTAATGTCACATGTGACTCTAAAAGTAGCATTGATATTAACGGAGCGAAGTCTCCAATTGCGGAGGGATTGAACTCTGGTCTAGAAATCACAGGAGAAACATCCCCTGAATTAAAATGTGATAGCCCTAGTAAGTTAAATGGGGATGATCCACTTATAGTTGACACTGTTATACTTGAAAGTGCCACTAAGTTACCATGCGAACTTGAATTCGCTAATGGGAGCGACAGTGGCGTGGAAACAAATGGCAAATATTTCAAAGAAACGGAGATTGAAGCGTCCTGTAACTCGAGCCAAATCAGTCGCTCATCCTCTCCATATCAATTTGACTCGGAGGAGCTTTTATCCAGCTGCAGTGCTGCCAACAGTCAAACATTACATTTTTCCGACACTCATACATCATTGGACTACAACTATGGTGAAGGCACTAGTGAGGCAGGTAGTGAAAGTTCCTGTGTCACAGGCTCAGGGTCTCTCAAGGATGCCAAAATTAAGAAGAAAACTGTTGAGAAGTCTGTTGTTCGCGGGAGACCGCCGTTTACTTCAAATGCTTCTCCAAGAGATACTTGCCGTAAGAATATTCATTTTTCAACTATGAATGCCAAAACCTCAGCGAAGCTTAGAGAACCAAGCGAAGTGCGAACAAAGCCCACCAGATCATTATCTAGCTCTCGATCAAAAATAGTTCCTGCCATCGATGACGGACGATGGCCCTACGCTCCCAGCAAAAGTCACACGGCTGTTTCCAGACAGAAATCTAACACATCACATCCGACTGACAAGAAGTCTCCGTCATGTTCTGCTGCCGAAAGCAAAGCAAATGCTCAGGTATTCACCACTTCATTAATTGTGTGTGTACCCATTTGAACATCCATTTACATACTTTCAATCAGATTCAAGTAACCTGAGTTTCTGCTAGCTGAGCTAGCGCTCAGGACAAAAAACGGCCATGAATTCTAGCTTGGCAGCAAAAATAGGGGTCCACCTACTCTCTCAATTTTTGTCCACAGGATTTCTCCTAATTTTTTCGGTTCTTAGTTTTCTAAATAATTCTTGCCAATGACACTCTCAAGTTTAACTATGATCAGTTTCTTTCTTTTTTTCTTCTTTTAATGAAGTGAAACTTTGGAGCCAGAGAATTATGTTCTTTTGGCTTCATCTTGACCTAAAAGTTCTCATCATTGAGCTACCTTTTATTTGAATTAGCTTAAATCTCTGGGGATGTTAATGAACTTCAATCATTCATTATTTATTTAATCGAATACTCAAAGTAGAAGCCCAATGTCAAACCTTAGAAAAATTTAATAGTTGGTGCTTACCCTGAAATAAGATGGAGATTTCTAAGATAGATGAAAAAAGAAGATGGGTGAAGATTAGGACGACTGGATACAGAAATTCTAAAATTGTGTTTTGTGCTATATTTTAGAGTACAAAACAAAACAATTCAGTCAGAGATTAAATTAATTATATTTCTAGTAATTTAAATTATTATAGTCAGTGCCTAACATAAATACCAGATGATTTTAAGCGTCTTGGTTTGTAGAATGGAACTAAAAAATCACCAAATTACATATCAAAATGAAACTTGCAGGTTGCTAGGAATACTAGATGACCTAAATGCTTTTATCATTCAAGGTCAGCAGATCGGCAGTAACTATCTTAAGGAAGTTAATTGATGAGCAAACAAAATTGCCTCATAGCAAAAATTAGCTGCATGCCTGCCCTTTCTCTCCATCTCCTTAATCTTAGATTTCCTTATTTTTTGTTTGCTTTTATTTATTTATTTTTACTTGTTTTTAAAGGTAATAGAAAAGTATGCCACTTTGCCGCGCAGGAGACGGCAGAAGTCGAACGAAAACCTCGTGCACTCTCATGACTCTTCATCACGGCACAGAGATCCTAGTTTGAATAAGACTGAAATCTTGAGGCGAAAGCACCGAGATACGAATCTCATGACCTCATCTTTGACTACTAACTTCAAAACCTTACCGCCATACCCTGGAGTTCGGAGCAAATCCAAGACTAAAATCTATCACGAGACTTGTACTCAAACGACTTTTACAGCCGACGATATTGAACAATTAGTTGCCGGAAACCCAGTCACAATCAATGAGCGTCGAGTGGAAACGATGGATGCATCACTTCAAGTAAGCTCTTATTGAAACTTTCACACCGCCTTTTTTCAGCTATCACTTGAGTAGTTTTTCCCACCGTTAAGTAAATATAATTCCACTTGACTAAGTCAGGAATCAAGTACTGTAATTATGTTTTCTCATCCAAATCCTTGTAGAAAATAGGGAGCGCAATGGAATTTTCGGGATTCATCTCTTTTATGAGGTATTATCATTTTCTTGAGTTTGAACTTCCTGCTCCCCAAAGTTAAAGTCTAATTTCTTGATACCAGGGCTGTTTTCTGCATGAAATACTGATTCGGAGACATGTCATGTGGAGGTTCAATTAATTTCCCTGTCTATAAGCTTAGAAATTGTTATATCAAGTACATGACTCTTTATATCTTGAAATCAAGGGTGTATAAAATTCTTCAGAGCAAAGATAATTTGCCATCTCAACTTTAAAATTTCTTTCTCCCCAAGAAAGTTTATTCACTCTGCAAGGAGACAAAAATACATATATCCTGCACTGAAAAATTTTAAAAACAGCTTGTTTTTACATCATTCTCATTTTTTGTAGAAGAAAAAAGAAAAATAATCTAATTTTTACTAAAAATTTGTCCCCTGGGCCTGCAAGTCTCCTCACCCCCATGCACAAGCGGGGACTTACATTTTCGAGCATTTCCTGCATCCCTGTCTAAAAGTACAAAATGTCATGTATTTTTCCTGATAAATTCGAGTCATTATACTGTGTCATCAATATCACTAGTTAACGAAAATAAAACGAAGAATCGTAAAACTTTTTCGCCTGGGAGGCTGCACAAGAAAATGATCAAAAATTTCAAGAGAATCAAGAAGAAAGGAGCAAACGCAGTCGCGCTGATGATGCTCCTCGGGCAGAAGCGAAACACGTCTGCAATTAAATTAATTTGACATGCAAGTGAGTCTTTTTTTTAAATTTTTTTTTAATATCACCAGTTCTTAATCAATGAAAATGTATCCACAATCTCATCATGATGCTATCAAATGTGGATGAGACCCATTATAAACACTCTGAATCTTAGGCAGTTTCGTAGAAGGAAATTATCTCATGCACTACTTTAGACTTAAATAAAATTTACTTATATTTTTTGATCCCAGGTTGATTTTAGAAACGAACAAATTGAAACACTCCAATCATCGGTCAAACAGCTGAAAGAGGAGCTCCTGAAGACCGAAGCGGAAAGCACAGCTAAAAAACAGGAACTGAACAAAACGAAAAGAGAACTCGAGTCATCTAAATTGATGGCAGATATAATTCAACAACAATTCAAAGCTTACGAAGACAGAATTTGTAAACTCTTGTTGAAGAAAAGTAAGTGAGCTCTATATATATCTAGTGAAAGAATCAGATATAAATGTATGTTAAAAATATGGTGATATTTTAATCAATAAGCTGTCATTAAACAAAAATCTGATGAAACATTTAGTGTTAGTGCACCTAATCACTCATTCAAGTGAGACATTTTTTTTTTTCAACCATTTTGAAAAGTTGAGAAAATTTATGGATGTATTCTCTTTTTTCGTTTATTTCCCCATTTGAATCGTTGCTCACATAACCTATTTTCCGAGTTGAGTATGGTTTAAATCAATTTAAATCTATTCCAAACATGCATACTGACTCTTCTCCCTCTCTTAGAATTTGAAAACTGATTGAAGATCATCTGAGAAATGTTATGAACTCTTAAAGTGTATAAATTTTATATTTCGATGGCCAAAGTGCAAAACAACGCAATAGAGCTTCGTATCTCTACTGCGGTGTTTCAAAACTTCCACTCCTTTTTGATTTTGTTTGAAGAGGAACAAGCAAATTTTATAGTTAAAAATTCAACAGAGTATTTTGCCAATAGAGAAGGAAAATCAATGAAGTTTTCAAGAAATTACATTGACCACTTTTCCGAAGAAAAAATGAAGTATGATAGGAAGTCTGCAATGCCTCAAACAGAGATACGCGGCTTCGCACTTGGGCCGTTGATCTGTCCTTTTGAAAGAGGGAATTAGGACTATGTGAAAGGAATTTTAAAAATCCATAATTGCTTCATTCATAATCGAGTGGATTCTCTTTTCAGTTTCGGATGTGTCTGGCGATTACCTCTCTGAATTAGAGCGGCAAACTCTTTGTATGAATGACATTGTGAAAAAACAACAAGCAGAAATAAAAACCCTACATCACACATGCTCTAAATTGCAGAAGGTCAGTACATGTCTGTGTTTATTTTAGTTCTGAAAGTCTTTGTGCCCTAGTTATCACTTATTTTTTTAATGATTGACAGCAGTGAAATATTTTCTCTAACTTCTGCCAAGAAATTAAAAGATTTAAGCCCTGTTTCTCTATTCTTATTCTCTCCTTTTCAGTATGAAATTCGCTCATTCTGCCAACTTGAGTTCTTAACTCATTAAACAAGGAGAAGGGGAATTTTGCTAGTTGCTATGAATTTTGAGATTCTAGTTCGTTTTTATTATTTTTCATTTTTGGTTTGAAAACTTTCAACAATTAATTTGAAAATGCTCTACACAGCGGTATAAAATTCATGCACCACCCATGTAACTTTTGAACAAATTGATGTAGAGATTTTAAATTTTAGTGCCCATAGTCAAAGGAGACTATTTTTAGAACCACTCAAAATTTTTGGAGACCACAGAGAGGGTTACTGACTCCGACTTTTTTTTTTTCTAGTAGTAACCCTCTACTCGTGAGACATCATTTAAAAGAACATATTAAATGCGATATTTTCGTCCAGATTCCAAGTTTTTTCCTGAAATTTTTCATAGTTTCCAAGACAGTTTGCAACTACTAGTATCTCCTAAAAAGTTTCATTTTTTATTCTTTTTCCAATCGTTTATCATTGAGGGGGGTCGTCAAAAGTAAAAACTTCATTTAGGGGGGCCGGTCCGAAGTTGGAAAGTTGAAAAGATCGTATCTTGTTTGCGCTGTTCCAGTAAGTATTCATGCAAACAATTTATTTTCCATCGGAGAATCATTGTATCATTTTTTTGTGAAAATTTTAGTGTCTTTTTTTGCAAGTGTACTTAAACATGTTCAAATTTGTTTATTATTTTTCCGGCCAAACCTACATAACATCTTTTAACTGGCAGCTCTCAGAGCACCCTATTCTCATATCGGGCCGAACTATCTCTTGTGAGATCCGCGAAACCTTTACGGAGTTGGTGACAGTTGGTTAAAGTTTGGTATCTGTTTGCAGATTTTTTATCTCCACAAGACACAAAAAAAAAGTGTACTTAAACAAAATTACTGAAAATTTCAGGCAAATTTATGTGCCGATTCTCCTACAATAAAATGTAATGTCTGCAAGGATTACTGAAAGAGTCTAATTAAGATATGCTCCTTCATGCAAGAGGCGACGATTTGCCAAAATGAAAAAGTTCCTAAGAAATAAATCCTGATCGTTAATGCTTTAACAAATATTGTTCCAATAAGTGTTCTTAATGAATTATCCGCTCTAATTATTTTTATTTTTTCCCTAAAGGAACTGGATAAGACGACCGTGGCCCAAAAATCAATGATCCAGTCTCAGCAAGAACTAGAATTGGAATCGTTAGAAATGCAAGATTTTCTACAGACAGAAAAACTTGCGCTAGCAGACTCAATAAAAGACCTTGAAAACGAGGTAGAGCTTTGATGATTTTTCACTTTACCTAAAAATAAATTTAGTGATAGTCTTGAAATACCCAGAAGAATTTCCCCATGGTTTTTCTTTTTCTTGTTTTTTTCAGTGTGACTTTATGTTATATTATTATTTTTTCCCTGTCCTCATTAATGTACATTTTGCCTCTTCCTAAATAAAGTAACACACTTCAAAGTCTTTACCTTGAAGTCTTTACCATGGGTTTTAAGTCCTGGTATCTGATAATTTGACACGGAAAAACCCTAGAATGTCAGTTGCAATATTCTGCTGGCAGGAGCTCCGCCGTGCAAAGGAAAAATGTCGTATAAGATCAGGCGTTGCCAAATTTTCCCCGGAAAATCACTAATTTTCAGGAAATTTTTTGAATTTTTGGCTACCAATTTCTCAGATAATTTTGTTGGTAATTTGATCTAGAACGTCTGAAAATTTCAAGAAAAAATATTCATAACTTTCCTAAAAAAATAAACACTCTATGGAAGGAAATTTGGCAACCCCCAAATGTTCGTACGGCGTTCTTCCTTGGCACGAATCCTTGCGCTTCAGTTTTTGGAGCCTTGGGAACCTCTGTGCCCCCAAGGCTTTCAAACATTAGCATTAAAGCAATTTTGCAATTTTAAATTGTTTCATTTTATCTCAGAAAAAGCAATGTACAAATGTGAGGATTATTTTTCCAAACCTCCTTTTTTTTTTAAAAAACAAAAGGAAAAAAATTATAAATAAAAAGTACAAGGATAAATTCAAGTACAAAAATAGACACTTCCTTTAAAAACAAAATAAAATCAGAATACAAATAGACATGGATAGGGAAAATACAGTTGAATAAAAGGATTGTATTAATTGAAATGGACTAATTAATTAAATACACAATTTTGTTCATAATTGCACTGTAAGCAGCCTTGAGCTGCAAATTGCAAAGCCAATAGATACCTGATGTTGTGAATTGCAGATGGCTCTTTTTTTTATAAGGTTTTAGTTTTGCTTCAAATTCAATCATATAATTTTTAAGCTTGATATACTTAATCACATATTTGAATTGACAGGTCTTGAAGCAGAAACAGTTAGTCAGGGAGAAAGATAAAGAATTATCGTGGCAAAAAGAAGAGTATTTGAAGCTAGCCCAAGTTGCTGAACAGAGGAGGTACGTCTCATTAATTATATTTTTCTTTTTTTCATTATCATAAGGTATTTTTATTTAAAATTATCATTTGTACATTAATACTTATTGCTGGAAATAGACTTAAAAGTTGTCCTTGCTAGTCAACAAAAATTGCCTCAGTTTTATTTAGTTCCACTGTCAACCGAACTAAGCTTATATTGATGGCCAAAGTGCAAAAGCATGTATCGCCATGTGCGACATTGCACACTTTCTGTCATACCTTATTTCTTATTTGGAAAACCAGTCAATGTATTTTTTGAATTTTTTTTATTTTCCCAATTTGAATCCAATTGAATTTTTTTTTTTTATTTCATATCATTGAGAACCGTTTATGCGAAATAAATATTTGAGATATTTATAGTTTTCATAACTTGGAAACTTTTATTTATCATTTTCACTATTTTCTAGGCAAGAAAACGAGGCCCTCCAAGCGAAAGTGAACACAACCGAGCAGCGAAGTAAAGCATTTCTCCTAGAACAAGGTGCCTCGGTCTCAGGAGCTTCAGTCGCGCTCTCTGGTTTAGGAGATCGGTTGGAAAGCCTCATCGAACAGTTGGTGGTTGCCTACAATATTTCGGAGACTGATTTAGAGGTACGTTATGTTTTATTTTTTATTTAATTCAACGGCACGATAGAAGAACAATTCGTTGAGAAAATTGCAATCAAGGTTCTTCAATGATTGCGGGTGATGTATCTGTATACTTACGACCACTGTCCAAGGCTAAAGAAATCGTAGGGCAGGAACAGTTGAAATGAAGATATGAATGTCTCCGCACAAAGTGTCTTAAGGAAGAGTGAAAATAAGAAGATACCCAAATATTGAATGGTATTGGGGAATTTGGTTTTTTAATTGGTTTGAAGGGCAGAACTCTGAAAACATTTTAAGTAAATGCTATCCAAGGTCTTACTGTTTCATGTTAGTGGCTCAAAATCGTCAACTTATAATGCAAGTTTTTGCTCTCTTTTAACACCAAAAGGAATCTAATTGCTCGTAATTTATTATGTGGGATACTGGAGGATGAATTAGCCAGTCATAAAAAAGCAAAGAGAAAAAAGGAAACATAGTGTCATGGTAGCTGTAATTTTCCTCGTAATAAATACTATGAGATCACAAAATTTCTGATGAAAAATGTCTGAGGATCATTTTTGCGATATGGTTGCCATTCATTATCTTAAGACAACAGTATACCTAATTTACTCATGTCAAGATGATTCTAAATTTTTCTGGCAGCATACTGGATAATTTTCCTCATTCTCCTTTTTTCCACCCTGTTTTTTGTTTTTTTTAACTACAAAACTTGTGTCATTTCCTTTGGACAATTTCACGAGTAGAAAATTTCCCCAAATTATGAGGCTTTGAAAGGAATAATTCTCCGAAGCCTTTTGTTTTAATGTTTATTCCCTTTGGAGGCAAAACCAGTTTTCACAGGGAGTGTAATTTGAGTACACATAATGCTTTTGCACATGGACAGCAGAATTTTTGGTGTATCCCTGGGATAGAACCGCCTCAGATTTTTTAATCTAGTAGACTAAAGAGTTTGACCGCGTTGCGTCTTTGTTACTTTCCGCACAAGTTTTGATTTCCGCTTTCACCTGCTCTCGCCCTGTCGTCATGTAGTGTGAGTAGGATTGCTCTGCTTTTCATCCGTCCTTCTATAGTGAGCGCAGTTTTTTCGACTGGAATATTTTGAAAAAGTAGAAATCTCAAAGCTTTATCGGATGTTTTTTTCCGTCTTGTTGGGTGGTTTTACTGCATACATCTCACAAGATTCAGAATAATGATTTTTTACTCAATTAAAGCCACATCTTGGTGCAAAGTTTTTGAAGGGGAAGTAAAAGTAGGAGGTTGTTTCCGGAAAACAGTTATATTGAGAAAAGTTTTAAGGAGATACGATTGTATACTATTTTGGACTCTCTGGCATAACTTGTACTGGTTGTTGAACTGCATTTTATTCTCATTGCAAACATGAAAGTCTTGACGTTGAACTATGATAATATTGATGAAAGAATTTTAAGAAGAGCGCCAACAAATTTAATTAAGTAGAAAATTATCTTCACTCGTATAAATAATATCTCACTGGTGTGATTTCTTTCTTTTTTCAACCCAGGCTCTTCTTAGGTAAGATATAACTCATAAGTTTACAGCATTTTATGCATTGTGTTCGTTCAAATCATTATTTTTTGACACTGAGAATGCATTCATAATTTCTTATTTTATCAGTGATGACATCCTAGGGTTCATTTTAGAATTGTATTTTATACTTTTAACGCGGCTTCTTTATTATTACATGGTTTACCTGTGTTTTGCGCATACATTTTCTACCCTCTCTTTTTCATTGTGTATTTGTCCTATTATGCTTGTAGCTTACCGTTTCACTTTGTATATTTTTATCAACAGATTTTAAAGATATTGACCTGTTTTTTTCTTTCTTTTTTTTCCTGAAAATACTAAAATTGATTGCATGGCTAGTCAAACGTGAGAGATCTTGAATAGGTTTCATACCTGAGACATTTTCAGTTATTATTATATCAACGGTAAGACCGCCGAACCATGTAATTCTGTTTGCGATGTTTCAGATTTTCTGTCATATTTTTTTATTTTTTAAATGGAAAGCTATTCAATAGCAACTCTAAAAAACTGCTGTGACAATTCGTCTCAGTGAGAAAAAAGGTCTGTGAAAAAACCAAGGAATGACATAAATTTGTTTTCTTATGAATAATATTAGAGGAGCAAAAATGAAACCCCGCAAACGTGATAAGTTTGGAAGTCTCACCGTCATTATGTTTTTCAATAATGTGTAATGCATATTTTTTGCAATCCTTATAATAATGCACAGACTTTATTCGAATTGGATGTGTCCATATTTTAAAAGAAAAAGCGCACTTTAATTTCATCAAGTAGTCCAGAAAAATATTACAAGAATATGCATGTATCCTATCTTATCATTCATGATGCCTATATCCATCAATCATCAGTGCTTTTTAAGTTAATTGTGGTACCGGTTGAATATTCTGTGAGTTATTTTATCTTTTAATAAATAGTGCTGAATTAATGACGAAAATAATTCTACCAGCTCGATAATTTGAATTGTTACTTTATGTTCCGCAACCAATCAGTTGTTCTAGTAGCATTGCTTTTAATCTTAAATTTGTTAACTCCGGTTACAACATATGCCACGTAACATGATTTTTAAACTTTCTCCTAAATGAAGTAGGTATTTCTGCAGTCTTTTGAATGTCATGACATCACATGTTTTGACATTAACATGTCCTCAAAGATCCATCACATATCCGTCAAGTATACCTTGGGTTTCCTCTTTTGCTTCTGTGGAAAGAATAAACCTAACAACAATCCCTAATTTTAGCGGTGAGGACAAGATCTTTGGATTGACTGACTGTTTTTGATGATTTCCGAAATTTGTAGGTTCAGTCCTTTCAGGAAATAACATGAGCTTTTCCTCACAGTGAAATAACTCTAAAATGCGAATCAATTTACTTGATGGAAATTTCGAGAATTGCTACTCTGAAGAAATTTCAAAGAAATCCTTAGGTGATAAATGCCTTGCCCTCCTCATCAAAATAAAGATTGACCGTTTCCTTTAGACCCTAAAAATCTTGAACAGTGATAGGAAGTGACCTGCAGGCTGATTGTTTTTGCATTGATAACTCAAATTGGTACGCAATTTGCGTTGATTGATTAACAGTCTCAAATTACATTGACAACTAAAATGTACCTCGCATGTTAGTCATTGATGTGGACCTAACTCAAAATTATGTTTTTGATCGTCAGCTATGTTGATTATTTTTTCCATGACAGGAACATCGCACGGTTAATGTTATCGATAATTGAGACAGAACCATCACTAGGACCTCGGGTTTTCGATCGATGCGAAATTGTTTTCACCAACTTATTAAACAGTTGATATGAGAACAATCTGGCAGCAGTTTCTCATCTGGCTTCTGGCCAGTATTTTATAAAGTTTCTAGGAATAATTATTCAATTAAAGTGAGAGGAAATATACTTACCAATTTTTCCGAAATTCCTGATGATTAATTCACAAATTCATTCAAATTTCAATTTAATTTTACATTATATATTCTCAAAATTTCTATTAGTAGTAATTTGTCTTGTTTTTTATTTTTCTACTCCAAAAATAATAACTCATGTTATTTCCCAAAGGTAAAAAAGTTTGCTTCCCATAAGTGGCCGTAGAATCAGTTGAAACCTTCAATCAATTAGGCCTATTTGCTGCCAAAAGTAGGGGTTCTCATGCGGTTTGTCATTCAATTTGGGACTTTAGTCTTTTTTTTGGAGTATGTGTGGAAAGTCTTCATTTTTGTGAACTTATTGTTTTATTATTGTTGTGAAATTATTGTTTATCTGTGTATTTTCTCTCAAAGTACGCTCTTCTATTTCTATTTGACATGCATGCCTTTACTTTAAATTAAATGTGATTCATTACGTTTCATGTGTTTTGCATGATTCACAGGAAGTAATTTTTCACAATGAAGCGTTCAGCCAAAGTTGTAGCAATAGTGATGGAGGCAGCAAAATTCAGAGCCCTCTTGATGGAAAACTAGACATTATAAATAGCTATAAGAATTCTGTACTCTCAGTGATAAGAAACTCCTCTACTACTCAGTTGTCGGATCAAATCTCATTATCTGGTGAGTTAAGTTCATATTACTATCAGACATAATAAATTCAGGTACTCTATTTTAGAGTTACCATTTTGTTTTCCTTCCAAGAAAAGTCTCAGTGTCTTATGTTGCCCTAAAAAAAAAAAAAAAAAAAAAAAAAAAAAAAAAAAAAAAAATTGTGGTGCTATTTGAAAACACATTGCCTAGTAATGTAATTTTTTTAAATCCTCTTGTTAATTTATTTACTGACATATTTTTCTGACTCAATAATTATTGATAACACTTGTTCAATTGTATAATCTGAAGTATGTGCCTGTGAACAGTTGCGAAAAAAGTTCTGGCGAAAGGACATTTTCTGATCAAGTGGTTATTTTTTTCTTCCGTTTTCAGCTCCAAACGAGAAAAAACAAAAAAGTGTACTCAATTTTGAAATTTGTACTGTAGTTTTCTCTTTAGTGAAGAACAAAGAGCGAAAGATTATAAAAATAATTTTGTTATTGCCCTCTGTACTATTAGGAATCACTATTTTGAATGATAAATGTTAATAGTAAAATTATCATTCTATGTTCGACAATTGAAAAAAATGGAGCAATAAAAGGAGCCTCTTTTCAATCGAAACTGAAAGCCAGTCGTGTAAAAATTAATATGAGGATTCGTTACTTATCTTAAACATGTTTTATGTTCTTCAGATGCTTCTCTAAATAGTGGAAATAACGATCCAGTACCACCCAGCAAAATCACGCTTAAACTAGGAGGAGAAAAAAAGACAAAGCCATATGAAGACAATTCATTTGAGACTGAAAACTTAGTTCCTTACGATATTTCTGACTCCCTCCTTAAGAAGGAGCACTCAAGTAACGATCTGCAATTGATGTGTGATTCGTTTCAACTCGACGGCATGCTCGGCCACCAGCAACTGGATAAAGTCTGTTTCGAGGAGTGCGAGGACGATAGGTTCTTCAATGAGTTCTACCCGAACCATTCATTAGTCGACCAAGTCATCGAAATCGACAATCTCATCGCTAAGCTCTTGAAGATCTTTAGTATGCTCCAGGATAAACAAAACAGCAGGTAACGCCTTTTTCTCACTAATATCATTTTAAAGCTATGATTTCAGACGGTCTCCGTTAAAGAGACTTTACTGCCGAAAAATTTGAAATTGAGTTATGGGCACCACTCCTCAGAGAAGTGTTGAGCCACCATTTTGGCACAAGAATGCTCATAAATATTTAAATCAAACCAGAGGAAGGTGTCTGTAGGTCCGGAAAACCTAGAAAACTGGGAATTGCTTGGGAATTTCTTCTAGTCAAAGAAGGAAGGAAATCATATGAAAAAATCTGGAATTTTGAAAAATGTTGAAACTTATAATCTGAAAACACATCAACACTGTCCACTCAATCGAACTGGGACTCACTATGGTTCAGGGTTCAATGCTCAAAGTTACTTTTTAAATAATGAATGGAGGAATAATTTTTCGACCAGTAGGCTACCCCCCTGATGCTTTATGGTCCGCCCCCCCCCCCAAGCGCTTCGCATTTCAAGCGGCATGTGTTACGTGTTACTAAATGATTTTTGTTATAGAGTATGATGAGGAGCACTACAATTTTAGCTAATTGAATGATTAATAAAAACTGAAGAAAAGAGGTTCACTTTTTTCTGTATTAGCAGTACAATCAATTTCAAGTTTTTCTTTAAAGTTCTTTGTGTGTGAATTCTTGTCATATAAGTCAGGAAGCTTTGATAATTTTGGTCACAGGAAATCTTGGAAAGTAAGGGAATATTTCTCTGCCATATCTGAAGACCTTTTCCAGAATAAGTAATAGCAATTTGAAGTTTGCAGTTCAAGTAATGTCGTTTTAAAAAGAGAGCAATACCCTGCTTTAATTGCTCCATGATAGTAGATTTAAATTTAACTTCGCATTGTCAATTGGTGCAAAAATGAATTGAATTGCTTGCACTGTATTCCTCAAACAGTTTTTTTTGCTAAAAACGTAAGTTTCATCAGGGTTCCTTTTCAAGTGTGCAATCACATCCTAGTAGTGTTCATTGTCAAGATTTAAAGGAGTCGCAAAATTAAGTCATTGTTGTCCCAATATTATCTAGTAAATATTTCTGGAATTTCATCATCAAATATCATCACAGTATTTTCCAAAATGTATTCAGAAAATTTGAGCAATAAATTTGCCTGAACTGAATCATTTCAGTATTTTCCCATGTATGATAGTTTTTCAGAGATGTTAGAGAAATAATAAATTAGCAATGTTTCATCTTCTTTTGGCCTTTCTGTAGCTTGTAGCAATGTTGCAATACTGTTATCTCTTATACTGCTGTGCTAAGGAAGAATGCTGTATGAGCCCTCAGACCTTGCCAAACTTTATTCGACAAATTACGAATTTTCAGGAAAACCTGTGAATATTTTTACTCTTTTTTAAAAATTTTATTCACACTCGGATGTAAATCATCCGAACTTTTCAAGAGAAATTATTGCCTATCAAAAATAATCTTTTTAGGAGGAAAAATTTTGCCACTCTCGCATGATAGCATACAGTGTTTTTTCTCAACTCAGCAGCATAGCTCCCAGTTTTTATCTACTTGCAGCCTCTTAGTAATAGTCAAATAGTCACCATATTCTGCTTTCGATTTGCTGGAAACCCTGTAAAAAATCCCTGCCAGATGATTCTCCAATACATGGATGTTGACTGTGTTTACAGGATTCGTAACACTTCAATTCCTTAAATTTCATCGCTAGGTTTTCATAGCTGTTGAAATTTTTAGCTTTCTAAAAGACAAGGAAAACGCAACATTCAATAAAATCATTAAAAATGAAAAGACCGACTTGAATCGCTTCCCTATCCAATTCATAAACGTACATGTATCTTAAATTTTTCTGTTGCTCATATCATCATGGAAATTTTTTTGTTCCAGTGAGCCCATGACATCTGCTCTTCAAGTGCCTGAAGAAAGAATTAATTTAGCAGTAAAAGTTAGCAATGTGCTCGATCAAATGAAGCAACTGAAAGCACAACTGCATCCCTCCGCGAAGGCAAAATCAAACGGAGAGGTGGACTCAAGAGAGGTAAAAACTATGTTTTCTCATTTTATTTATTAAGCAATGCTTCTTTTTTTAAAACTCCGCCATGGCACCTGAAAACCGTAACATTATTATTTTCAAAATGATGTTAGAGTAACTAATAAGATTTGGAGGAAAACAAAATAGCTGCATGATTTGATCTGCCGTCAGTCTTAGCATTCTGAAAAATGAGTGCTTCTTTAGACTGCGATTTTGGATTTAGAAATAAATGTTGCCCAGAAAAATTTGCATGGCAACCCCCTCACTGAGAAAATAAGAATAGACCTGTCAACAAGGTGCGAATTTAAGTATTTTGGTACTTGTTCCTTAACTAAAATTTCCACGGAGACAGTGTTTTTAGGAAAATTGACATTTTCCGGAAAATCCTCACACATTTTGGGAAAAAACACATGGGCCTTTCAAACAACGCTGAAAATTTGTTTCAAATAGTCTTTCCCGATCTTTGTCTCATTGAAAATTTTTTTTTTTTTTTATTCGTAATAATATTTTATTCACCCATCATTGAGAAGGACAGCAAATCTACCTGAAGAAAATTGTTTTTTTCATTTCAGTAATTCATATGAATTGGAAAAGTCCCAATTCATTTTATAAAGCCACAACATTTACAAATGATTCATGGCATTGCTCTTGAGTAGCCACGATTTCAGAGAAAGCTTTATTGACCTATTAGAAGGAATATCTGCGGGATTTTCATTGATACATTTTTTTCAGATTTCTTGCACTACCTCTGTGGTATCAGATGAGCCAGTTGCACCGAAGGAAGTTATGAATCATTCATCTGATGTTCCTGAAAATAGCCACGATAATTGTACTAATGGCTTAGCCTCCATGGCAGAGCGATTTTCAAGTTCTCTCAACGCTTCTTCCTAGCTGCAAACTCTGCCCTTGCAGAATTTTCCCCAGCTTTTGTAGTCAATTCTCCCTCCTCTGTACGGAAACTTTTTATACCCATCGTTTTATCATTTTTCTTTTACACACTGTATCCATCATTTTATCAAGCGTCAATTTTACAAGGCTCAATCATTTTCCTTCTTTTATATCCTATTTTAAATCTTTTTATTGAAGATTGATTTTTAAATATCCCCTGTATTTTGATTTTATCGCTGTAGATCATGATTAATCTGAAGAATCACTGAATTTTACCCCTTTTGTTTTGTGATAGTTTTATCAATTTATATTTCTCTATTTTTTTATGTAGAATAACGAATTTTAGACATATCTCGAGCTTGCATCTCTTTTACTGTATACTTCTCCAACCGTACTGGTCATGTAATAAAAAACCTAGTTTTACCCACCTTGAATACTCTGTTTTTTTCCCCCCGGAGATTATGTACTACTCAAGTTTTTAGCAACCCTGGAGACCTCTGAAACTTTTCCACAGATATGGATCGATTTTTGAGATTGATTTTCTGGAACTTCTTTTGCACCTCCCATAGGCCCATGGGGTCGGGGGCCTCCCAGACTCCATTTTAATCATCAAAATTTTTGTGCCAGTCGAATTTTCATCATGATGTAAATGGACCGTTTTCAAAACAGAAAAATGAGAATGTTTCATAAACTGCTGGTCGTAGAGCAAGAGGAAAAATTTTTTCAGCCCTCCCTTTGACCCGTGAGACTGCTTTTGTACCTCCCCTAGGGCTCTGGGGTCGGGGGCCTCTTAGGATCAATTTTAATTTTCAAAATTTTGGTGCTGGCTAAAGCATCAAGGAATTTAAAATGGCAAATCAAGAGATATAGTTTTGGAGAAAGTCGTTAAAGATCAGTTATCATCATGCCTATTATTTTTGTTGGTGATAACTGATCTTAAATAGTTGTTCACAGCTTTTTTTTTTTCTTGGAAATGATACCAGCATGCATTTCTCAAAAGCTCAAAGATTAAATTTTTGACTGAAGTTGGAGAAACTTGCGTACTGGGAGTTCTATCTTTAAAAAGTGAGCATCCTTTCCACAAAGGTAGTTTTATTTGTCAAGGATACCAAAAAATATATAACTTGATTGATAAAAATTAGGGTGATTTAAAAGGAAAGAGAGAAAAATAATGAAAGAAACTCGCATTTTACTACACTGAAAATGGTAAAATACTCATAAAACAATGAATTTACAGAAAACAACATCAATTATTAAAACAGTTTTTACTTAGCGCATTCTTGCTTGAATGTATCAACATATTTAAGTCCTCCTGCAGACACTCAAAAAATCGTTTAACTTAGGTAAAACTTGTTCATTGAGCTTAATTCCACTCGACTAAAACTAGACTGACAGCCTAGTTTAATGAGCCAAAACAAAAAGTTCAACTGTACGGACCAGGCCTTGGAGACAGTTAAAAAGAGAGGTTTTTCAGACAGACAGCACCGTGTACCTAAGAGCATGGTATTTAAAACAATAGAAGTTCATCCACCATCAACGTAAACCACTGCCATACAGAGTTATGGTTGTCATACCCCAAGCAGTGAATAGTCCTCCGGCTACAGTCCACTTCAATGCAAGCTTTACTACTTCAAATCCTCTCTTTTTACGCCTGCACAAGTAAGAAAAGAGAGAAAGAAAAAATTGTTAAAAGATGAAGAAGCAATCAAAAGAAATCGATACAACATTATATGAATAAAATCAAGGCAGGTTAAATGTATTCAAATTTCTTGGTAAAAACCAAAAGTTTTCTGATCAAGTTGAAAACAAGCTGGTTTGCTGCAAAATTACCGGAGGAGTTAGCGTTCTTCATCAAAAGGCGCTGCTGTTTTCTATTTCAAGGCATGCGGGTGAATTATCACGAGTACTCGGACCTCGGTTCAGGGAGCTCCGACGAGTCTTTAGATCGGGCACGATTGATTCTACTTCTCAAACTATGTATGATTAGACTTTAATCTTGAAATTTTTTTTTCTGTCCAAAATTGAGAAAAATCGGCAGGGGTTACTTAAATGGACTAAAATTTCAGGGTCAAAATCGAAAGTTCACTGTTCGGGCTGAGATGAAGTTAATCCCCTTGGAAATGACACGCAGAGTCCGGTTTTCTGATTTAAAATGCTCCTTGAGTTCACTGAAGCTCACAATCTGCGAATACTGCATGTTGGATCATGATTAAAACCGGTCCAAAATACTCGTTTTTGTGCTCTGGGAAACTTTTAAGCCGAGAATCAAGTCTTCTTGATAATTTTCCCACATGCCTTGTTTTCTGATCACGCAATCCAGGGGATACATGGAGTTTTTGGACCGGGTAATCAGATTTCATTCTCTATAAAATATTTTAATGAAACGTCACTATGAACCGTAAATTCTTAACAATTTCCAAAAATCGCCACACATTTTTTGGCTTAAAATCATCAATTTTAGTCTGAAGTAATCATTGCAATTTTGAAATTGTCGCTTACTTTCTTACCCCCGGCGTTTAAGTCTCCAGAGTCTCTAACTCCGCCATCTTGGAGTTTTGAAATTTAAAGCTTTGACTGAAAATTCGACCTCCAAGTAGAAAACATCTACTACCACCAAGTCTCACGAAAATGAATCGAACAGGATCCGAGATAGCATTTTAGGCCGCATCCACTATCTTGAATTTTTGAATTATGAAAATTTGAGTTTAAGTTCAGGGTTTCCGTCAGAAAATGCCACCTGGCACCGAGTTTCAAAAAAATCGATCGAACAGGAGTCGCATACCGCACGATAAACGCCACCAGTCAATTTGCCTACGTTAGTGCGCCTTCGATCTCGTCTGATACTTTGCAATACTTCCGAGGTGATATAGTTGCTCAAAGCGCCTTTAAGAGTATCGACTTGACTTGATGGCAGAAGACCACGATTGCCGCCGATATTACACTCTAGCGCGTGCGTAGTTACACATTTTCTCATCACCGACGATGAAATAAAAAATATCCATACCTCAATTTGCGACCTTGCAAACTTTTTCACTGCCTATTTTGAACGGGTAGAAGAACACGAACACTTAAAATCTGCCGTAATTTTTCCGAGGTATGACAAAAAGCATTATTTGAATGCGCTGCTAGCGAGCTGTTAAAAACAATGACTGTTGAATTTGAATGTTTCATCAGTCTAATGTCTAAATTTTATGCTTAAATTAAACGGGAGAATCCAAAGTGGTAGGTAGGAATCCTCAAACAAACAAAAACAGACCCGAAATGTTATAACTCTGGACGTAAATGGGCCCGAAGAGGTATAATAAGACACCGAAACGTACTAAATGACAATTACTGTAATTGTCAGCTCGCTAGCAGCACATTCAAATAATGTATTTTGTCACATCTCGGAAAAATCACGGCAGATTTTAAAGTGTTCATATTCGTTTACTCATTCAAAATAGGCAGTGAAAAAGTTGCAACGTCGCAAATTGAGGTATGGACGTTTTTTTATCTCACTTTTGGTGATGAGAAAATGTGTAACTGCGCACGCGTTAGAGTGTAATTTCAGCGGCAATCGTGATCTTCCGCCATCAGGTCGAGGCGATACTCCTAAAGGCGCTCTGAGCAACTATTCCACCTCGGAAGTATTGCACAGTATCAGACGGAATTGAAGGCGCACTAACGTATCGACGGTGAAACTACCAAACCACGTATCTCGGTTTGCGACGTCGCAGACTTCCTGTCATACTTTATTTTTTAAATGAAAAACTACTTAACATACAGTCTTAAAAATTTCTGTGATTTTTCCTCTTTGTGCGGAGAAAATTCCGTGAAAATTTCGAGGAGTGATATTGATTTGGTCTACTTCAAAAAAAATAAAATGTGAGCGTAGATTTTTAAACACCGCAAACGAGATACGTGGTTTGGTAGTTTCACCGTCGGTATGTAAATTCACTGGCAGCCGTGGAGTCCTACGGATCGTGCGACATGCGATTCCTGTTGGAAATGGAATAAAAAATAAATACATGAATAATTTTAAAAAAAAAAAAACAAAGAAAAAAACAAAACAAACAGATTCATTTCATAACGGTTGAAGAGCGAGCCGATATCGAGGTTTAAGTTAACTGAGAGTACATCGATTTGAAACTGAACTTAAAAAGGAGCCTCTATTGCGAAGCCGGATAATTTCGAAGGCACCAAGATGACACTCTCGGCCACATCCGCCATCTCCGACTTTTGAATTTTAAAATTTTGAATGAAAATTCAACCTCATGTGAAAAACATCCATTGCCCAAGTCTCACAAAAAGGAATCAAATGAAAATTTGAGTTGAAATTAAGGTTTTCCGTCAAAAACTACCCCCTGGTACCGAGTTTTAAACAAATTGATCGGACAGGAGTCGCATATCGTACGATGAACGCTACCAGTCAAGTTGCCTACGTTAGTGCGCCTTCAATTTCGTCTGATACTGTGCAATACTTCCGAGGTGGAATAGTTGCTCAGAGCGCCTTCAAGAGTATCGCCTCGACTTGATGGCAGAAGATCACGATTGCCGCCGTCAATACACTCCAGGACGTTTCTTGAAACTCGGTACAAGGTGGCATTTTTTGACGGAAAACTTGAATTCCAACTCAAATTTTCATAATTTAAAAATTCAAGATAGTGGATTCGGCCGAAAATGCCATCTCGGAGCCTGCTCGATTAATTTTCGCGAGACTTGGTGGCAGTGGATATTTTTCACTTTGAGGTCGAATTTTCAGTAAGTTTTATACTTCAAAACTTAAAGATGACGGAAGTGGCTCAGAGTGCTATCTTGGCACCTCTTCGAAACTATCGAAAATTGGTAGGTATCTGTCCTAAAAAGTAATCGTCATCAAAAATCTCGGAAAGCAATTGAACTTTTGAATGACGGTCAAAAAGTACAAATATTTCATTCTCTATGAAATATTGTAATGAAACGTCACTATGAGCCGTAAATTCTTAACAACTTCCAAAAATCGCCACACATTTTTTGGCTTAAAATCATCAATTTTAGTCTGAAGTAATCATTGCAATTTTGAAATTGTCGCTTACTTTCTTACCCCGGCGTTTAAGTCTTCAGAGACGTACATAATGACACTAATTCTACTACACGCATAGGTGGGCATGCGTGAATCTATGCGAGTAACAAAGCTACCTGGACAAGTTGCATTGGTAATATAGATGAGTAACTTCGCAGCAGGTCAGCGGGCTGATTATTGAAATCGATAGACAAAGCGATAGACAAAGAAGACATAGGGAAGAAAGAGTGATCCCATTGGTTGAAATGGGTAATTGTTGTAGACTAAGGGAAAAAAATGATGAACTGACTATACGTTCCCCTGTGAGTTGCCATTAATCAGTCTATTACTTACTTCATTTGTCCATTGTAACCACCCGCTTTCACTCGTATAAACGCCTCATTTTCCCATTAC